ATTTATATAAATTTATAATGTAAGGAGCGTCGGGAAGAGTACGAGCGCAAGGCGCGTGAGTCCCGTCACGTGGAAGCGGCCTGGAGCGAGTTCAGCGAGCTGCTGGCACAGCTGCATCGCAAAATGGAGTTTGCCGCTAACACGATACGGTATATACACATAAAAGTTTATTTACTAAACTAAACTAAATATCCAAAATAACTAAATTATGTCCCGGTTTTGACAATAAAAAAAACGTTATATTATGTTTCATGATTGGAACGGGTTTTCTGGAATAGAAATCATTATTTTGGTTGAAATAAACACGACTGAAAAACACTACGCCATAACAGACTATGCAACTTGTCGATAAAACAGAGCAAGCGCCAACTAGCGGCCCAGACTGTTTTACCGACGTTTGAACAGATATTCAGGGTGTCGGTTATTTATGACGATGTGCGCGCGCATCGTAAAATTTACTCTCATCATTTTTCCCTAACGGTTATAAGAAGTATAACTTCAAAAATTTGTAAGATCACGTGTATGTCTTAATATAAAAATGCTTTAAATAGTTAGTTGATTTAGTTAATATTTTAAGATGCACTAACTGCGGTCGTCGCCATAAACGCGTAGCAACGGACCGACCCTGTTACGCGGCGCGATACTGCTCTCAGTGCAAGATTCGACACTCCGCTAAAGAAGTAAGTTCAGCTTACCTTTATCACTAATCATTGTTTATTGGACCTCATTTCATAGTAATTACATTTTTAAAAGTTGGTTATTCTAGTTTATTGAGTACATTTTTAAGACGTAACGAGAACTAGCAGTAAATGTAAAATTAGAAGCATTTAATGTATTTTTCTTTTTGGCGTTCATTTCATGTACACTACATTGTGTTACCTATATGAATAAAAAAAATTGACTTGTTTAGCGTAATGTCATACAATTTAAAACATAAGTAAAAATTATTCACGATTCAAAAAATTTAGGAAATCATGCGTAATTTGTTTCAAATGAGTTCTGTATAATTGTATTTCCATATATCTGTAAAAATATAGAAAAATAATCTACGCAAAATTCGTTCGATTAATTGACGAAAAATGCTTGCAACATTTTATTTGCGTAGGGCGACATCTGGGCAGAGTCGAGTATGTGGGGCTTGCTGGTGATGTACTACGCGTGTATGGATGGAGCTGTTTATCAAATCACGCAATGGGCCACTTGCCAGGTACACTCTTTAACGAAGAATATAGAACAGACTATACTATAAGTCTCTCCCTTTCATTAACTAAGAAGTAACGTAGGATTTTGAGGTCGCAGTGCCTTCGCCGTGTCGCCTTTTTTATGTTTACAACACTGTTACGTCATTATAGTTCGACAGTAATCTTGATAAATATTGTACATAAAAGTATATAATTATGTGAATAACTAAAATGACTTGTAACAAATAAAAATCATATTTGTACTACCCTCATTTATCAGATATTTTGCTTCTACCGCAATATTTATTAATAACGTATGGGTTCTTAATCCTCATTCAGCTTTGATATTTTTGTAAGCTCTGCCTGACACATGTCGTTGATTTTGGGTCTATGGTGTGATCCCTAACGATTTCCATAACATAATTTTACATAGAAATATTCATTCAGTCTGGATTCGAATTCAGGACTTCATGAGAAGCCGCTAACGCAGCTCCATAAGGGAATCTTATAGTGTGAACAAATATTATTTTACAGAAAAAAAATCTAAAACAGTTGCGCGCTGATTGTCACATCGTACAATATCGTATTGTACTTGGGAATAAGGCGCCTGCGGCTCATCTTGCGAGTAAAACTGGGTAAGTGTTTTATAAGTACAAAAGCGTATAAGGGCCGTGTGTTTAACTCTGCGCGGAACAATAATATGGCTGATTGCTTACTCGCCTTAAATAATTAATGCATAAATGTCCATACTACCCACCGTAAAGGGACTTCAAACCTATACTCAGATGTTGTATTCCGTAGAATTTTGACATTTTATAAGTGTTGCTACTAAAAAAGTTCTCCAGCGAAAAAGGGACAAATTTGACTTTGAGGGCAAAAAAATGCTACATATTTTTTTTTTTTACCTTAAAAAGGTAAATTTTCATATTTTCTTACTCAACTGACCTAATACAAAAAATAACAAATATTTCAATATATATCGAATTAACTTTAATTACTTTATTTTATTCATTAGCTCGCATCACTGTCTACTAATACCAGATTTAGTAAACCTTTAAAAAAATGTTATCTTTACTTGTGCGTTTTTTACTGTTTGTGATGAAAAGGGACGTAATTATCACTCACCGTTAAACCACTTTTAATGTGGAGCACCGCACTCAATAAAATGGATACATTAACTAAAAATAAAATGTATGTATAGACTCAGGTGTTCAGACTCGTATTGAAATTGAAAAATGTGCCCGGCCAAAAAGGTTTACCATCTATGACATGTTAAAAAATGGTAGCTGTCAGAATTCTACGGAATTAAAAATCAGAGAATAGTTTTTTTTTATAAATAAATGGCGCTTCAAGCTTTTTAAGTCTGGGCCTTCAGGTTTTGTATCTGTTTCATGTTCATTTGTCAATATAATAGACACGCCAATTTTTTAGTTTTATAAAAATAAATCAGTGGCGCTACAGGTCTGGCCCTCATCTTTCTCAATTTGTTTCATGATCATTTGTGAATCTCTTAGGCAAGTAGATGATCAGCCTTCTGTGTGACACACGCCGTCGGCTTTTTGGGCCTAAGGCAAGACGGTTTCCGCATGATGTTTTCCTTCAACGTTCGAGCGAATGTTAAATGCGCACATAAAAACTCCATTGGTGCATAGTCATATGGATGAGATTCGCACGTTGAAGCCACTTTTTTATTTTAATTATATATTTTCAGCCCAGAGCCAAACTTGGAAGAGTTTTTAAACAATTTGTACAATAAATCTGGTGTAATGACAAACACAGCGACGAAACAGCCTCCCGCCGAAACTGACGTCAAAAAGCGACGTAATAAAAAAGCTAAAGCTTAATAAATAACCTAAGTCTATGAACCGTTGCCTTGAAAAATATTTCTATTGCAAATACAAAGCTATATTGACATTTAATGATTGCAATTTATATTGAAAGTTCTTAAAAATATCGAATATTTTTCTTTATGTAATAATAATGAAGTTTTGACATTTTGTTACTTCTCGTTTTAGTTGCTAGCTATCTTTTTGATTAACAATAATTATCTGTGTGATGAGTTTCTAAAACTTTTTGTCTGTATAGAGTTTTATAAAAACTGAAATATACTTTAATTACAATTGTAATGTTTTCAATCATCATTGTACAATAAATAAGTCATATTTTGATTTACAGACTTCAAAAATCGAAGACGTAATTGCTTTTTGTCATATAAATCGTCCGTGTGCATACTATGGCAAAGATTCTTTTGACACCTAATAGTACAACTTGGTTGCACCAATACATATAGACTTATTTTTAATTAGACGAAGTCATCTGACGTTTACGGTGTTGTCTGTTTTTAATGAAATAAAAATAGTGTTGTGACAAAGTGAATGATTGAAAAAACTCCTGAATTAATGATCACTAGATGACGGTGATGGCACTAGTCACCACGCCGCCCTTTGTAATATAATAATATAAGCCGTCAAAAAACTGATTGTAGTTACATACTACTAGTACCTAACTTATATCAGAGCACTTTTATACAATTTTTAAATAGAAATAATATTATTTTATAGTTTGAAATGATTAACTGAGTGACAACTGAACAATGAGTGTGAACACTCATTGTTCATTCATCTGATTGAACAAGAACTGATCGTATCACTATTACTTTAAATATGGCAACATTATTTTACAAAGTGACATTAGCTAATGTCAGTTGGCTTCGTCTAATTAAAAATACGACTATAGATAGTAATTTTTTTTTATCCATAGATTATTTGACAGTGAGCTGTCACTTGTTTTTTGACAAATGTATGAACTGCGTAATGTATTCCTCTAATGTCCATAGTCATCTTAAATACTCATAAAAACATATGTGTTGGTACATTAACATGAATAATTTGAATTTTGTTACTCAAGTTCATTTTCATGTGAGAAACTTAGTATGTCTGCAATTGAGGAGTATTACACACATGTTCTGTTTATGGTTTAGTCAGATAACTTATGTTAAATTGTTTTAAGTTTTTTTTCCCAAATTTTGTTATATATTTTTTATTGAATATTATTATAAAAATCTCAGTTCATGTGTGTAGCGGACATAGTTCGCACTGCCTTCAAAGAGATTATTAGGTTAGACCGCCAAAACCCATACATTGTGCGTAGTTTGCGCTTCATAAGTCAATAAACACTGAAATACAAATTTTTGTTTTATTTTCAAAGCATATCATTTTCTATAAGAGATTTTTTTTTAATTTAACTTAAGAGAAGTTTGACAATTCTACTTGAAGCTTTTCATAAATTTTTAATTTAACTATGGGTAGGATGGAAGCTCACCGAGCTTTCATCATACCCTTGAGTAAGCGAAGTATAAAGTAACCCCACCGTCACCGGTGAAGGCGCTATTTTATTCTAGTCTTAATAAACGTGTGAGTACGTGTTATACTTCTTTGGCGTATCAAGATAAAAATCTATTCAAAAATTTTATCTTTCGCTTATTCTACGTTTGTAGAAAAAACGACACTAACAATAGAAACACTAAAATATAGACTATAGCTAACTACAGGTTTTTTCTGACGGTGTGCGCGCGCATCGTAAAAATTTCTCTAAACTCTCATCATTTTTCCCTAACGCGCCAAAAAAAACTTCAAAAATTTGCGGTACAGGCGCTTTTCATTCGAACGTGTCGGGCCCTACTAGGGGCCTTCTGTGACGGGAAGAGGTTTCGGGGAGAAATTTTTAAGAATTGAGACATTCTTATGGGTGTCTATTAATATAGAGGACTTAAATGTCGCTGTATACAGGTAGAGAAAAGAAAAAAATAATTATATAAATTTATTCCATCATATCACTTGCTTTACAATCTCGATCAGTAACAATACAATTCTCGTAATTCCACTTTGGAAACATTCGTTTGTAGAGGTTCAGCAGTACTGTGTCTTGAGATTTGAGTTGACCGTCAAACACACACTTCATATGTCCATGTGTACCTAAAAACAGGATTTTTTTAAATTTAAGAACTTTTATTTTAAGAAATACATATTTAAAAGTTGTCTACTTTTACTATATATATAATATTGTTATATACTTTATTGTGGCTTAGTTGGTACATCAATACTTTAAAATCAAAAGTCTTGATTTTACTTTTGATTTTATTTTTTGATTGATTATGATTGACTAAAATATTATGTTATGTTACTAATGTTTATAAATACAAAATAATGATCTTAAAAAATTAACACAGACAGAATGTAAGATCCATGCCCAAACGCCATATTCATATTAAACCTTTTCTAGCTGACCCGGTAAACATTGTTTTGCCATGTATATTATTTCTAGGAATAATTTTTTTTGTTCAATAAAAATAACTATCTACTATATTAAAAATAGTAGATAGATAGTAGCCGATTCTCAGACTTTATAAGAATCGGTCGAGCCGTTTCGGAGGAGTATGGGAACGAACTTTATATATTAGATAAATAAAAATACTCGACACACCATGACTTTACTAAATGACATTTATAGTACATTTAAATAAGCCTATTATTGTTTAAACTCACCTAAAGGTTCCTTTATATGTCCCGTTCTGCCATATTTAGTTCGAAGTTTGCAAGGTTTAAAGTATAAAACATCTTCTCTACTAAAGAACATGAATCTTATCACAGCTGATTTTGTGTGTACCTGCAATTTCATTTTTGATGATTTATAAAAAATATATAATATTTGCATGAATCATAAAAAAAAAAACAAGAAAAAAAAAAAGTAAAAGAGAACGCAAGAGTTCGGAAAAGGTAACGAAAAAACTCGAGTATGCCCACATTCCGAACGCCATACGCCTCTTTTGAGCAACTATTTAAAAATATATTTATAACGTGAATCAATAATAAAAAAAACTTTTTTGTTGATTAACTTAACGTATTTCTCCTAATTATGGAATTAGTAAATGTTATATAAATACGACAATGGTTAGGTTAAATTTATCATTAATAAATCTTTTATTAAAGTTTATGGGACGAAGACTGAATAAAAAAAAAAACAAAAAATTACCTTATAAGGATGTCCTGAAAGTATAATCCTCTTAACAATTAATCTGTCAGGGTTACATGAGAGCAGTACTCCGGATGCAACTAATTGCAAATTTGTATTCTTTTTCTCCTGAAAGTTATTTTAAGAGAAATTTATAAAAAATTCCGCACTTGCACACCAAAAAGCATTTGAATGTTAGTTATTGATATAATATAATTATGTCTAATAAATATAAATATGTGATTAAGATATTTATTATAAAATAGCAATTAGCAAGAAGATATTGTTTTTATTTTAATTGAATATTGATTATTATACAACAAGCAATAAAGTAAAAAATCATTTAATCATACACATAATGTACACTTATGACTTGTCAGTAAAGAAATACATATTAATGCTTCTAATTTTACATTTACTGCCAGTTCTCAAATCAAGGGCGTGGAACGGAAAAAAAGAACTGGCAATAAACTCTCCGCCACTCTTTTTAATCGCCATTTTTTTTTTACCCAACGTTTAAAAGGAGCTGCAACCATTACACCATATTCCACATGACATACATATATTATTATATCATAGTAATTAATAATAATAACTATTTTTTTTATAAATACTATTTACTAATGTTCCATATTAGCAGAGAAACTATTACATACTATTAAAAATTATTAATTACCTTAAAACATAGTACAGAAGAGGGACTGAATTGGATGGGAGCGTAAAATGTAGCTACGCACGTGGACGCCGGTTGAAAGAAACGTTCATACTGAAAAACAATTCATAAAAAAGTATATAATTCTGCTTTACATATGTATTTGTTTTTTAAATTTATTCCTTTCTCCACATATTTCTATTCAATTAATAATAGAAATATGTGGAGAAAGATTGTTGTACTCTTCATCCAATTAAAGGACGAATCTTCAACCAGTCTAACTACTGACTGGCCTGAAGCCTTTCTTAATAAATGCACTATTTACCAAAATAATGCTTACATTCGAGTTTCTGAGGAACACAGGAATAACTAAAAAAATTGTGGTTCATCAACCAAAATGACAAACCAGCTTAATAATCTAATATATAAAATTCACGTGTCACAATGTTCATTCCCATACTCCTCCGGAACGGCTCAACTGATTCTTATGAAATTTTTTATGCATATTCAATAAGTCTGAGAATCGGCTACTATCTATCTTTCAAACGCCTCAATGTTTAGGGTGGTCTACCCCTAAATTTTAATTTTATAGAATTTTTTTTTACGATTCAGCATACATAAATACATACAACCCTTAATTTTCACCCCTCTACGATCAACCCCTATTTTTTATTTGTTAATTAAAATCTTATGAGGTTGATATAGAGAAAAATTCACAGAAAATCCTAAAAACCAACAGTCTCAGGAGTAGCATAGCAAAATGTTACATGTTGGTATGTACTACAAAGATAGGCTAAGTAAAATCACATTAACGGGAAACGAAGTTCACGGGGGCAGCTAGTATTTATATAGATAAAACATATAAGTACCAATATATTGTATAAAATTTCTTACGGCCCTACTCTAATATCAGTTTATTGTACCATAAGCTTAATTACCTTATGTTTACTTCCGTTTGTATGCTGACTAAATATTGGGTTAACAATAAACCTCCTATAACCAACTTGAAAGATCAGTCTTTCCTTGCTCTGTATAGGTTCTTCACTTACACCTGTTCTCTTTAAGACAACATTCATAACGGACATCTTGTTTTCGTGTGGCAGTAATCCAAAAACTGATAAAGGTGTGTTGGGATTTGCAGAATTAAACACTTTCCATAAATCTTGTCTGACATTCCTTACATGAATTGTTATATAAACGCCATACTGAAAATAAAGTTTTTAGTTATATTATTAATAATAACATATATTCTATATAATAAAATCTTTATGATGTAAACTTACCATATTTTCCAAACTATCTTCAAGCTCTTTGAAAACACGTTTTCTAGTTCGATCGTAATTTTCAAACTGAAATATACGCGCGTAATCAGCAGGTAAATTTTCTTTCGGATCCCAAGATGAGGTCCTAAAGGATTCCAGGCCTCTATATCTGTTAAATCTTTCCCTTGCTGGTAAATCATGAGGAGTGTCTACTTCATCTGGAAACTGCTGATCTTCACGAGCTGCAGCCAATTTCTTTAACATCTCATGCTCTTCATGAGCATCTATAGTTTCATCATATTTTTCATCTGTGGGACCTATTACAGACTCGGTAACAGATTCAAAGTCATTTATTTCCTCATCGTCTTGTTCAGAGTTTGATTCTTCACATGACATAAAATCATCTTCATTTTCAGGACCTTCACTAACTTCAGAACCATCTTCATCTTCAGCATCTGACTCAACTATCCATGCTGCCTGATAGTCAGACCAACCTTTTGGTACTTTCTTAACCCTTTTCTTTGTTTGCTTATTTGCTTCTTCTATTTCTTCTTCCGTTGGCCATGTCTGTTCTGCATCCATTGGATCCGGTATATTTTCAGATACAAGGGTCTCTTGTTTAGCAGGGTCAGCTGTTTGTAAGATAGTCACTTTAACAGTTTCAGAGTCCATAGAATTTGTCTTTGTTTCTTTAGCTGTGTTGATAGGATGTGGATCATCATGACCATCAATTCTGGACATTTGAAAATCTCCTAATCCAGATATATGAACTAAACCATTAACATTTAAAGGCATTCCTCTGAGATAACCTGTTAATTTCAATGTGCCACTCTGACCATCTTCATCAGGAACATACTCAACTTCTTCTGCAAGCATATAAGGTCTCTTTTCTCTATGATGTATGACATTACGTTTCTGATTGCCAATTCTACGCAGTAAATTTAGACCATCTGAACTTTTATCTAACTGCATTACTTTTTCCTCGGGCAGCCATTTTGACACAAGTTTTTGGACATTTTGTTTTTCTGAGGTCCGTTTTTTTGGGTTTACTCCTTCAATATCCATGGCTACTACAACAGGTGTTGGCATGCCCTGGGCCATAGCTAAGGCCAAAGCTTTTTCTCCCCAGTCATCTATAGGTTCCAGAGCAGAACAGACAAATAACACAGTATCCACAATTTTCAATGCATCCAAAAGTGCAAAGTCATTTTCAATTTCAGGTGCAATAAATGAAAACCGTTGCTTAAAATTAGGTAAGCTGAAAATTTTTGTTTTTAAATTATGAATGTTGAATGGACTGTAATCTGATCACAATAATATGAAATGTATTTATAAACAATAGGCAAATAACAGGCCTGATAAATTCTTACCCAAGATGCAAAATTCCACTTTGGACTTGTGTTACAATAGCACCTTCAGAACAAGTTTTTAATATAGCCAAAGCAGATTGTACATCAAGCTGCCTATTTAGAGGAACAACACACACCAAAAACGGTGGGTTTCTGGTACCACCAAGTGCACGTTTCTTAGCTAAAACGTCGTCCCGTTTGTTTTTACGAATTTGCTTAGCTTGATGTCGGCGCTCGTCACGCTTAAGTTCATGGCGATTGCGACGTACATACTCCTTTAAATTGACTTTGCCTGTAAATATATACAGATACATTTAGAAATTGTTTTATAATTTAAAAAATATCGAATTTACAAAAATAACCTTTTACAGCAGCAGCAATACCACGCTTCGATCTGTGTTTTGATTTGTGGGTCTTATTGCTTTGCTTCAAATTCCCAGGGCGGTGAGCTTGCTGCATGTTATATTCGTGCTGTAATTTATTTTAAAATAAAACCTATGAAAACGTATAATAACAAATCCACATTTTTCACATGTACTATAGTGCACAGACTAAGTAGTGGGTATTGACACAGGTCACATAGAACACTGAAATACTGTAAAAATATCAGATTCAAAGCATAGCATAAAATACTCTCTCTCTCTCTCTAAACTCTAAAGTATGAAGAATGCAGTCTTAATATTTTGTATCTGTGTATTGCGTTGAACTGTGAACATATAATAATTCAAAAACAAACAAGATACTATGTCTTTGGTGACGCGTGTATTTAGAAAAGTACGAATACACTATCCTAATTAAGCCAATACGATATTATCAAATTAAAAAGGCACATATTTAACCTCCCTGACACGTAGATATACTGACGAGATAATTTGGTACGACTTGAATTTCTTTTAGCTCCACGCACATACTCTTTCTATATCCCCGTGCCAGCGCGAACAGTCGTCTACCTCTTGGATTCACAAAAGTAATTTGCCATCATCTGCCAAAAAATAGCATCTAGCAAGGCTTATCGTTGGTATCTGGTAAGACAGACATGCGGGCTACTACTCTAGACAGGAGGTTTATTACGAAATACGAAATTCGCTGTGCACAGTTACTCTTCAAAACATTCAAACACCCACTTTATATTAACTTAATAACCATAAGCAGAAGATATCACGGTAATCGGTCGGAGTATTAGGTCCCTTACAATTTTCTTCGTATGTGATATATATAATACGATAATAATTACAATATTTACTAGGCTTTAGCCGATTTCTAGAAACACAATTATTAATAAGCTTTATAAAAGCATTTGAGGCCCCACCTGGGTAACGTGCGTTAAAAACAATATACCAATCGGAGGAGGAGGAATAATATAAAGTATGAAAATTAACCTTATAAAAATTTGATTTTGGTTTATTTTCACTTCTGGTTTGCTTCATTGTGGACTTGCCACCACGCTATGGTTACTATTGGCTATCTGTGTATGTTGTCATAAATTACCTGTGGGTGAACTCCAACATCACAAGTCACGTGACATGACGTTGTGGACGTGTCATTTGTAGACGGTTCGCTGGCGGCGTTGCGCAGGGTCATTTTTAGAAAAGTCGAGTTGGGTGTCCTATTATTGAAGAAAAGTTGAATGGTTTTGATCGATTCGATCAGTAATTATTTTAGTTAGGATAGTGAAAACACAATAAATCCAAAATGGGAAGTGAGTATCGTTTAATTTTATAATAATATCGTAAATTAAATACGACACGTATAAGAATCTTTTCCTTATAATTGCGATATATTTGTGTTTTATGTGATAAACTGTGATGATTTATCGTTAATAATTGTGTTTCAGTAAAATTCCTTGAAGTTATAAAGCCTTTCTGCAGTATATTACCAGAAATAGCGAAACCCGAGAGAAAGGTAAGTTGGTGATTGATTGAACATTGTACCCGTACTACCTTCTTTTTAATAGAAATTTTAGATCTATAATTCTTATTTGATTATTCCTATGTAATTTTCGTCTTGAGTTGAATTGTTACAACATCATACAAAGTGATAGTTTGAGTGAAAGTAACCTCCCAGATAAAATTTAAGTAACTGTAAAGTCATTAGCCATTGATGAAATTAGATCAAAAGAATAATTTAATTGTTTCAGATTCAATTCAGGGAAAAAGTATTATGGACAGCAATCACACTATTTATTTTCTTAGTATGTTGCCAGGTAAGCAAAATGTTTAACCTATTTTTGTCATCCTAAAATCAAAATTAGTAGATTTATATATTATTTAATGCCTAAGGCATTATTTACTTTAAATGTAATTAGATGCCATATGTTTCTAAATTTGGTCAAAATAATAAGGTAAATATTTCTTCGATAAATTATATTCTTCTGTTAAATTAAAGATATACCTAGCTATATTGAAATACCTAGATATTCATAAGTAGCAGTAAACAGCATATTGCAGTAAATGAGTTATTCAACTAATTTTAATACTAAACATATTTAAACTGAAGAATATAAAAGTTGTCCCCTTATTGAAATTAACTTTATTTTTAGATACCATTATTTGGTATAATGTCCTCGGACAGTGCAGACCCATTCTATTGGATAAGAGTGATCCTGGCATCTAACAGAGGAACACTTATGGAACTAGGAATCTCACCCATTGTTACATCAGGACTCATCATGCAACTGCTAGCAGGAGCCAAGATTATTGAAGTTGGTGACACACCAAAGGACAGAGCATTGTTTAATGGAGCTCAGAAATGTAAGAAATTTAACAAATGTAGATGTTTGACATTGTATTTTGCCCAACAGGTGGCAAACACACAATAGGCTCGTCTGATGTTAAGTACTTTGCCCATTGACACTCACAATTCCAGAAAACTGTGTTTATAATTTATATGCAAAGAATAACAAAACACTGTTTTTTTACAGTGTTCGGTATGGTGATCACAATAGGTCAAGCTATTGTATATGTAATGACTGGAATGTACGGTGAGCCCAGTGAAATTGGAGCTGGAGTCTGTCTGCTCATCATCATTCAACTGTTTGTTGCTGGTCTTATTGTACTGTTGCTGGATGAACTTCTGCAAAAAGGTTTGTGTTTTATTACTCAAGAAATTATTACTTTTACAAAAATATATATTAATTTTATCCTATAATATTCTTTCTTTTAACTATTTAAGATTTTGGTAATAAATATCAGTTATCAGTTGATACTTTAGATAAAACAAATATTTTTAGAAACATGGCCGTAATGCAACACACATAAATGTTTTATTAAACAAGCAACTTTTAAATAATTAACTAATATTAAAAAAAAAAATTATTTAAATAAAATTACTTTCAGGATATGGTTTGGGCTCTGGTATATCTCTGTTCATCGCCACCAACATCTGTGAAACCATTGTATGGAAGGCCTTCTCTCCTGCTACTGTTAACACTGGTATGTTTTATTATTATACATTAAGATGTACACTTTAACAAAATCCATATTAACTTTGATATTAGAAGAACAGTATTTATTAGAAAAGCACTAAGTAACTGTTATGTTTATGATATATATAATGTATATGTTCGGGTTTGTCTTTACTAAGTACATACTAGGCTGAGTTATTTGCTTCAGATCGTAGCAGGTCATATCTTAAAATGATATCAGATTGTGTTTTCAAGAAACTTAATAAGCGTGTGTACTGAAATTTATTAGATCATTTGCTATTCTTCCAAAGGTCGTGGCACAGAATTCGAAGGTGCAGTGATAGCGTTATTCCATCTGTTGGCAACCCGCCCTGACAAGGTTCGAGCCCTCCGCGAAGCCTTCTACCGACAGAATCTACCTAACCTCATGAATCTACTTGCTACTGTCCTCGTCTTTGCTATAGTCATATACTTCCAGGTATGTATTTTATTTGTACTACTACTTGTATGTTTAGGGTTAGTAACATGTAGTTCTCATATCATTTAAAAATACTATGTTTAATTTTTTTCGTTCTGAGCTCGTCTTGGAGTATATGCTAGATAAAAATTGAGTCAGATAGATTTTGGGATTTTGTTTTTTTTTTTTTAATTTTTTGGGGTTTGTCTCCTTATTTTATTAATTTGCATTTTAAATTTCAGGGCTTCCGCGTAGATCTACCAATAAAGTCTGCTCGTTACCGTGGGCAATATTCGTCATACCCTATTAAGTTGTTCTATACATCGAACATTCCCATCATCCTGCAATCGGCGCTCGTCTCCAACCTTTACGTTATCTCACAGGTAAGTTAACTAAATAAATTCATTTATCTATTAGAAATATTTTTTTATAAAAACAATTTTTTGTAGATATAGGCTTATATGTGAAATTAATGAACCAAAAAGATTGAAGTCAATAAGTAACATCGCTGAAGAATGATAACCTCGTATGTCCAGAGAACTAAACATTACAGGAAACAAAAAAATGATTAATTTCGTCAATGATCGTTAAAATAGTACTATGTGTTTTTGTCCATTGTTTTAGATGGTTAAAAGCAATTATTTATTAATAACATAAATAATCCCTACTTCATGATTATGACATAAGAATAAATGTTTTTTTGACATACGAGGTTATCATTCTACAGTAACTAAGTTTTATGAATATGTTTTTTTATTTTTCTTATTATACATTTAAAACGATATATAATTAGGGACCTCTAACTTTTAAATTAAACTCACTTGTCTCACAAAAAAAATACAATTTTCAATATTACTTTTACAAACTTTATGGCATATTTACTAATACTACAATCAGGTTGTCAGGAACAGACTGATCTTGAAAAAGATGGACAGCGAAAGACACAAGTATTATTAGGGCCACACTTACAAGTTACCCTTGTCCACAGATGTTAGCAGTGAAATTCAGTGGTAACTTCCTCGTGAACCTCCTCGGAGTGTGGGCTGATGTGGGCGGCGGTGGTCCAGCCAGAGCTTACCCGGTGGGAGGCCTGTGCTACTACTTCAGTCCCCCGGAATCCCTCTCCCACATAGGCCAAGACCCGTTACATGCAGTTCTCTACATGTTCTTCATGTTGGGATCCTGTGCCTTCTTCTCAAAGACCTGGATTGATGTTTCCGGATCCTCTGCTAAGGATGTAAGTCGACTCTTGAATGTCTTAATTTAGGTTTTACCATTGATCCAAATAGAACTAAACGGTCTTTTCTCTGGATACTTCTGTATAAAATTTATTAAGTATAGAAATTTTATACTTCATTCTTTATAGGTAGTATATTGATCTACCAATAGACATAGTTTTTTGTATGTCAGTCCCAATAAGATTTTCTTTTTTAATTTTTGTATATTATATATTTAGTATGTTACTAACACAAAAGCTATGCAGAAATCTCAACCAATATTAAATTTCAGGTCGCCAAGCAACTGAAAGAACAGCAGATGGTAATGCGTGGTCACCGTGACAACTCCATGATTCACGAATTAAACCGTTATATTCCAACAGCTGCCGCTTTCGGTGGTCTTTGTATTGGAGCTCTCTCAGTTCTAGCCGATTTCCTCGGAGCCATTGGCTCAGGAACTGGTATACTTCTGGCCGTGACCATCATTTACCAGTACTTCGAGATCTTCGTCAAGGAACAGGCGGAAATGGGCGGCATGAGCACGCTCTTATTCTAAGCTATCCAAGCGTAACATTCTAGAAATTTCCAGAATACGTGTGCGTCGTTCTGGAACGTTTTGAGACTTTTAGAATATGTTTGGTTCTAGAATGTTCCGAATTGGAATAATGCGATTTCAGTTTCGGGTGCGGATTTTAGTGTTCAAGCGTTTGTACGCACTTTATTTGATAATAGAGATTAAATGACATTTTTATCTTTTTTTATTTTAAAATTTTAGTTTTCTGTATATAGTGATCATAGTGACTCAATCAAATACAATCTTTCCGTATCTGATAACTGAAATGCGTGAAGTTAGTAATATGTTGTAGTGTGGATCGCGTTGTTCACGCGAGTGGCGTGGGTTATGTGCTATTTATATGAAAGAACTTTATAATAAATACTTTAACGAAAATTACGAATTTTTAATTTTGCCCCTTTCATAGTTTACTATAAAATTCCAATAATTACGTAATTTTATATAATTTAAAAAACCAATACTTACACAGCGTAAGTGACATTTTCTAAACACATTGGCGAAATATTGTTTCAATTTGGCGTTTTGAATATTGTATTACTATTAAGATATGAAAAGTACATTTCAATAAAGATAAGTTAATAGAAATTTGTTTTTGATTTGAAAATAAACTGCGGAATAGTTAAGTAATTTTATTCTCACTATACATGCGAAATACAAGGAGAACAATTTGCGAACTTAAACCGATTAGTCTAGTCAATATATCGTAACAAAATATATAGCTAGTTAGCGGTAACAAACAAAATCCTTATTTACAAATTACCATTTATCCGATTACCACAAAATTAGGAAAAGTTAAAAACCTAAGAATACTCGTACATTTATGGCACAACACAAATTCTACACATTAATAGGCACTTTTTTCACTCGGGAGTAAAATATTGCTTTTCGAAATGAATCTCTTGGTCCCAACCAAGACAGGATTTTGCGGATAATGTGTAGACGCGAAGCACGGAAGACAATGCATAAATCCTTATAAACAAATGTCTATGTTTGTTAAATAAAATAAGCATAATCGTAAGGCATTTATGTGATTTTAAACGGCTTATTCTGAAGCTAAATAAAAGTATATCATCCTTAACAAAATATAATTCTCACCTCATTTCTCCGATGAAACGTATGATTATCCGACCGTTATATTTCGATTCTATTACAATATATTTCTTTTGTCTGTAGGTAAACTGAATGAGTTCAAAGCACTCTTAAGTTCTATAATATACAAAGCTTTAATCCTATTTATAATTTAGGGTAGATATCAAAGTCTTCTGACACGAAATAAGTCAATGGAGTTCAATAAAACACTGGTTCAAAATGAAAACGTCTCATTATATGTCTAGTAGAATTACGAACCCACACACACATCTATAGACCCCTTGACTTTAATAATGTCAGAAGATGTTTCGCTGTCAAACTTGCTATAAACTGTGTCAAATCTAGCTTTTAATGGAGCTTAAAAAAAACTAAACAAATAAGGTGAGTAAGGAAACATTTATTTTAAACATTTTTGAAATAAACAAACTAAAAATAACAGTGCCAATGTAGAAATTAATAAGACATGGAATTAAAACTAAACCAACCATATAGAAACGCTCCATGCTCTACAGTGACTATAAATTTATACAAAACTTATTCCAAAGTGTACTCTAACAGCATTTGTCTAAAAGTAAACAAAATGTCGAAAAATGTGGACCCCGATAAAATAATAAAAAATAACAACAAAAGATACCGTCACGCTAGTATAAGTTTTAAAAGTGCAAAAACATTACACCACAACCAAATTATTGTTAACATATATATACGTTAGCGTTTAGGAGCTCTGAAAAGTAATTCCAAATTTGAATCTCAAACTGTAAACCGCCTATTTTTTTTAAATGAAAACATGATAGGGTACGTATCAGGTGAATGACCTCTGAAAGTGAGTCCAATTCAAATCTTGAAACAGTGAAACTATTTTTTTAATATGGAAACTTTCTTTTTAATTTTTTTACATGCTTATAAACTTGTACTAGCGAAACATGTCGACCGCACCAGGCAACAATCAGAATCTATACAAATACATGCTAATATTTGCTAATTAACTATTATTTGTACATGCAACACTTAATTTACGCCTACATAACTCATTAAAATATGGTAATTTAGAATATATTCAACAAGAGTCAATTAAATATATACGCTGTATAGAGAGATAGTTTTAAGCATATTTAATTGACATCTTAGTTGGGTAGCTCGCTAAGCAGTGGGTTGTAGATTTTTAAAAGGTGATATCTATCACAGATTAAAAATTATTCATGGATGTCACTGCACTTTAGAAAGCTGATTGGGCCGTTTTAGACAGTATTGCCAATATAAAATACGTCACAATTTCAAAATAAGAACGCCTCAATCCAACTTGTTATCCGCAAACAAAACGCTGTTGGTGCTAATTTTGATGACATACTAAATATATCTGTCAAAAGTATAATAAAAATATTAAATTAAATATACAGTTAAGTATTTTAAAGGTGAACCATAGAACTTTGATTGGCATAGAAATATTATTGCATGCATACAAAAAGTGATTTAAAAACAAAAAGTTGTTCTATTTACTGGATTAAAACAAAGCAACAACTGATAATTTAGACATATTTAGAGGTGTATGTATCATAATTAGCACCATGGTCAATGTTTATATGATTGAAGGTTTCATTTGTTTGCTTACAATAAAATCCTGTCAAAAAAGTAAAAGTAACTCGATGAATTGAAGAAGTATGCTGAAAAGACTTCTTGACTTCAATCAAATAAATATTGATGCAAATGTTATTAAAAGTGACGAAAAGCAAGATTAAGCAATATAATACTGCTGTGCTGTCTCGGTATAGATTAATTCACTAAGCGATCGTTTCAATCTCTTCCTGTTCCGGAGTTGGTATCGGCTTAGGGGGTTTGTACGGCAGAGTCTTGAGTTTGCGAGCCTCTCTTCTTTGCTTCTTCTGCTGCATAACCAGCCTTAATTGCTCCAATTTACATTTTGTTTTGGTATTTTCGATCGCTAGAGTTTTGGCCACTGTGCACTTTTGGCATAGTTCGTTCTTGCCTTCGCAGTTTGCACAAACTGGTGGATTTAAACGGCTACAGTGGCATTCCTTGGCACATGTACATGACTTTCTTGATGTGGACGGATGTCCATCGCATTGACCGTAGGAACAGGTCGCTTGACTGCAATTTGGGCATTTGTCGTCCAGTTGGCCGCTACAGCTGTGTTTTAAATCCCTCTGAAATAAGACACTATATTTTAATATACGTTATGTGTGTTTTCTAAAAGTACATTTTCTATAATAAAAGGTATAAAAGTTGAAATTCTGTTGCTACTATGTCGAATATGATTTTTGAAGTGAAACTTCTTTATCGAGGTTGGCAAAAAATTTAGTGTAACATTTTTTCGTTACGCGTCACATTTTTCGGTTACGCGCCATGTTGCTTTTTGAAGTCAAACTTCTTTATCGGCGTTGGAATGAAACTTCTTTATCGACGTATGGGAGAAATTTTGTAGCAAATCGTCACGTTTTTCAATGATAGTAATAATTCTATTACAATTAATGAAATTCTATAATAATCTTCGTAGTAATAAGGTAAAATGAAATATTTGTATTCATGTCTATGATAATAAAAGCCTTTTGTTAAACTTTATCTAATTTAACGAATTTCTGTAAAGTTGCATATAGTAGATCATTTTTCGAAAAATAAGATCATAAAGAAGTTTCACTTCTTACGGGTATGTTCCGATATACACTGCGAGTACTGTATAGTGCTCCCACTGTTCAAAAATTCGTTCCGCTATGGACTGCCGTCTGCCAGTATACAGCCGCAGCGTCCTAGGGAAATATATGACGTCACAAATCCCCGCTATACTTCTACTGCGAGCACTGGCGTTTTCGAGGTAAGGTACTCGCAGTGCTTTGATCACGTGATCAATCAAAACCACTTGAATGCCTAACGGCTGATATAACTTACAGTTTAATAACAAACATTTAAAATTCTAATTAAAGAATTAGCTTGGACTAATTAATGAAACAATGGAAAACTTACGAGTAAAGTAAGTTAGTTGAGTTATGATAAACAGACCTTTTCTAATTAAAAAATACTTACTTTCTTTGTAGTATTAATTCAATTGACAGTTAATATTAATATAGATTTTTTTAATGCGATAATACTCCAATAATAGTTTTTCTTGTTGAATTGAAAAACTTTGATGCACTCATTTGAAAACTGTGTCGAAAAACGAAGCTGACTAGTATACTGGACTGCGTTCCGTTTTAAATTGTAACCAGTATAGCTGGCTATAGAGAAACGGTTTCACAGTATACTAAATTGACGGTACTCTGTACAGTGGTCGCAGTGTATATCGGAACATACCCTACGTATGTACACCTAGTACACGCACAATTTATTATTTTTACTTTATTATTATTATATAGATTAAGATTGTAAATAATTAGTCATATTCATTCATACTAATATATATAAAGGAATATTATTATGGATTTTTTCTAAATGAAAACACAAAATTGTTTCTCTGAAATACAAAGAAACGACATTTAATGTCCACTTATCTATCTTTTTACACTATAATCCACTAAATTAATTTACACGTCATCCGCCATTTTATCGCGTGTCACTCCGACGCGTCAAATTCAAATTAATGAAATATCATTCCATTACATCTCCCCCCTAAGAGAAAAAATTCTGAATAATATATCTACACACTATACTTAATAGCTATCTTCATATTCGTTTTCCTTATATTTCATCTTCTTCAGATTCTGTTGTAACCGGTTGTAATTTTGTTATGTGGAACAAAGTTGATTCTGTTTTTCTGTTACCAGTGTCAATCCTATAAATGGAGTTCGATATTTTCCCTACTATCTTAAAAGGACCTATTTTTAATTCGTCTAATTTCTTTCTATTCAGTCTATTTCCATTCTCAACATATACACTGTCGCCTATATTAAACTCTTGCATTTTTCTTTTTCTATCAAATATTTTCTTATTGTACTTGTGGGATTTTATTGTATTTTCTAATGCCAATCTTTTATCAGCAATCCACTTGTCTTCTCCTTCTATTATTTTTAATTCATTTGGTAGAATGCTGACATTTGTACCATCCAGTAAATATTTTGGTGCAAAACCTGTAACGGAGTGTTCTGTTTCATTATATTTCTCTACACATTCTCTTGCCACTGTTGTCCATGTTCTCTTATTATTTTTCTCATTTATTCTACATCTTATTTTATTAACTATTGTTTGATTTAACCTTTCATTCAAGCCATTTGAGAATGGTGTATTCACAGCTGTAAAAATTAATTTAACATTATTTTCATGTAGATATTGCTTAAATTCTCTTGAATTGATGCCTGGATATTGATCTGTCAAAATTATTCCAATCTCATCTGTTTCTAGTACATTCTTTGTTAGTTTTATAAAATCACTTGCATTCTGTGTTTTTGACGTCACAATAAATGCATATCTTGTATAATGGTCTACTAAAAGGTGTAGGTACTTTTTTGTTGATCTAGATCCTCCAAAGCCACCTATAGTATCCATTGACATTATCTCAAATGGTTTTGTTGCTGGTCCCAGTTGTGACATTAATCCAAATTTTCCTTGACCTCTTGATTTATTTTTTATGCATATTTCACATGTTTTACAAATATTTATGATATTCTTTGTTAGGTTTTTAGCTGTGTATATTGGACTTATTTTTTTTCTGCAATTGTCTGATCCCAATATGGCATAAATCTTCATGCACCTTTTTGATAAGTTTCTTACTAAATTCTTCTGAGAGGATAATCTTTTCATGTTTCTTTATTTTCTTATAATATATTGTATTTTTTTGTATTAGATTTTCTTTATTTTCTTCTATTGTTTCATTTTGCTCTTGATCTTCAACTATATCCTTTATTTGTATTAAATTAACTATTTTCAATAATTCCTCTTTGTTATCTTCTGATTCTAATACAGGATTTCGGCTTAAACAGTCTGCTTCTACATTTTCTTTACCAGGTATATATTTTACCGTAAAGTCGTATTGAGACAGGTAGTATGTGAGATCACCCAATTCTTCGTCTGTCCTGCATTTAATGTTCATGTTTTCTAAAGGTTTGTGGTCTGAGTAAATAGTGAATTGTTTTCCAATGAGCCAGTGTTGCCAGTATTTGACTGCTTCTTTCATAGCAAAACATTCTAAGTATATAGCTTTTTTCCGTTTTTGAGATTCATTCAGTTTTTTTTGAAAAATATGCTACTGGTTTGTCATTACCGTCCAGTTGTGTTTGTTTTAATATTGCTCCGATACCCTCTAAGGATGCATCTGTAAAGATTTTTATTGGTAAGTCTTTGTCATATATTTCCAATACCGGTTGAGAACATAAATATCTCTTTATTTGATTAAATGATTCTTCACACTTCTCTGACCACACAAACTTTTCGTTTTTTCTTAATAATTTATGTAATGGATCTAAGATAATCGCGCTCCTTGGTATGTATTCATGGTAAAAGTTAATTTTTCCCAAAAATTGTCTGATATTCTTTTGTGTCTTCGGAGTTGGAAAATGTTTTATCGAAATCAAATTATCTTTTAACGGTCTTACCGAGTTGTTTTGAATTACATGGCCAAGATACTTTACTGAGTCTGAGGCAAAGGTACACTTCATAAACTTCAATCTAAAGCCTTCTTTTATTATTGCCTCTAATACATTTTTTATGTGTCTTATATGGTCCTCAAAAGTAGAGGAGTAGATTAAAATGTCATCAATATAATTTACAGAGTATCCTGTGAGATTGTGCTTTCTCAGAATATTACTTAAAACTCTCTGGAAAATTGCTGGTGATGTTTTTAAACCAAAAGGAAGGCAGGTCCACTGAAAATGGCCATCTTGTGTGACAAATCCTGTTTTATATCTATCTTCCACCCGTAGTGGTATGGCCCAAAATGCTGAGTTTATATCAAGAGTAGTAAAATACTTACAATTTCTTGTCTTAATAATTAAATCATCTATTAATGGGAAAGGTTGAGCTTGTGGTACAACAATTTTGTTAAGTTCTCTAAAATCTATACATAATCGAGATTTTCTATTTTCACTTTTTTTAAATGCTAATGTCACTGGCGCAGCAAAAGGACTGTAAGATTCTTCTATTAAATTATTCTTTAGTAATCTGGATATTTGTTCTTCGATTTCTAATTTATCTTCTATCGTACATCTGTATGGTCTTTTACTACAGTATGTATTTACAAGTAAATCTATGTGAGCTTCATAATCTTTAACTGATCCTATATCATACTTGTCCCTAGCAAAAATAGTTTTATATTTATTTATAACTTCTTCTATCTCAATTTTCTTTTCTTTATCTAAATGATCTGTCTTACTAACAAATTCCTCTGTTTCTATGTGTTCATTGAAATTTATTGCATATATTTTTATATTCTTATCTTCATTTCTGTTATCTTTAGACATCCTGTCTATTTTCCTTTGTTCTATCTGCAAGTCCTCATTTTGGATTAATTTGAACTTCTTTATCATATCCAATCCGATTATAAAATCCTCAAAATCTTCATTTTCTACTATATATATATCGACCTCTTCTTCTAAATCAAAGATTTTTATTTTTATTGTTATCAAGCCATCTGTCTTCTTCACACCATTAACCGTTTTCATATATGTTATATTCACATTGTCTTTTTTTTCTTTTACTTTAATCAATCTTGAATTTATTAAAGAGATCTGTGAGCCTGAATCATAAACACCGCTCACTTCTAGTTTATTTTCTAATAATAGCTTGATTTTGATTAATGGTGTACTTACTCGTTTTTTTTCTCAGTATTCATATCTACTTCAATAATCGAATTATTATTTACATTTTTGGCTTTAAAAACCTTTTCAGATTCATTTTTATTTTTCTTGAACCAACATAACTCCTCCGGATGATATCTAATTCCTTTGTCCAAAGATTCACAAGTCTTACATGGCTTCTTCTCATTAATTTTATTTTTATAAGAATATATATTCTTTGTTATAGTTGAGTTTTTCTTGAAAATCATACATTCATATTTTCTTATCTCGTTAAACAAATCAGTAGTGTTGTTGAGTTCGTCCCTGTTTAACTTATTCAAGATAAAACTAGGTAAACCAGTTGCAATTAGATCTATCATTGTTCTGGAATCTATCGATTTATTTATATCTAGTATAAGCCGTTCTTTTTTTTATAGCATAATCAATTAACAGCCCTTCTTTATACTTGAATGTGAAAGCAGTTGTGACTACATCCCACCCTTGGTTCCTAAAAGTTTCTAAAAATTTGTCTTTCCATTCATTCCATTCAGAATTTACTGATAGTTTAATTACCATCGAGCTATACCAATCCAAACTGGAGTTTTCTAAAAATAATCTCAATATATCTATTTTTGTTTCATCGTTTGTTATATTAAAACGCTCACACTCTTTTTCAAAATTCTCTATCCATTGCACTGCATTAGGATTCTTACTTGTGAATTTTTCGATAATAAATTTCTCTGAAACATGTTTTAAATTATGTTGATTTTCTTTTTTTGTTGTAGATTCTATTAATTTTTCCAGGATATGTTGCAAATTATCATCATTGCCTCTTGGTTGTTTTGTGCTCATTTCCTCTAAATATTGATCTAAAAATTGCATATTACCTTCCTCATCTATATATGTTTTCTTTAGATCTTCATCTAATTTTACCCATATCTTTCTGCTTTGGTGCCTTTTCTTTATACTATTTTTTATTTTTGAAAAAGTGTTCAATTTAACTATATATGTATGATGAATCACCGGCTTCAATTCATCAGGTAAAACATAACATTTTCCTTCTTCTGTCAATATTGAAGTTATGGCCAATATATTAGATTTGCCATCGATTGAGGCCATCATCGTGAACTCAAATTGCAGCCGGTCCATCTTCTTTTAGTTAACAAAAATGTCGTTTTATAAAGGAATATTATTATGGATTTTTTCTAAATGAAAACACAAAATTGTTTCTCTGAAATACAAAGAAACGACATTTAATGTCCACTTATCTATCTTTTTACACTATAATCCACTAAATTAATTTACACGTCATCCGCCATTTTATCGCGTGTCACTCCGACGCGTCAAATTCAAATTAGTCATATTCATTCCTACTAATATATTATCCTTTATGTTCATTTTGTATAGTAAAACAACAACATACAACTTTATAAAAACATATGATCACTATAAAATAATGTTTAACTTAGTTTTAACAATACATGACATTTCTAGACGTCTATTTATACTTCAAAAAAAAATAGTAGTTTATCTGTCATAATTTTAAATCAATTGTGAAAAATAACCGTCAAGATGCGCCGCACAGGTTTATCTATCGTAAGTTTTATTTAATTTTTATGTTGGTATCCCTAAATATGCTGTTGTCGCTATGAGAATGAGCATGTTTTTGTCGTGTTTATTAATATACATTGCTAACTGCACGGGATCAATATTTTGTTGGACTTTACTATAAAATTTTAATTGCAAGTATGTCTGTATATATTAAACCAATTTTATTACAACTTAAAAGACAGTTAAACTTATATTGATATAGTGGTTGTAGGAAGCAACACACAAAGTTGTGGGTTCCATTCCCACAAAAAATACTAGTATTATTATTACTTATATACGGCTTTACTATGACGATGGGTTTTTTGCATGTTTCTTTTGCTTTGGTTTTCGACTGCTATATATTATGTTGAGGGAAAATTATGGTATATTTAGTTTAGGAACAACCAGACAAAATAGACTCAAAGATGCTGCTACTAAACTGCTAAGGCTTTGAAAAAGAAAGGAAGCTTATATGCTTTCTGTCAGGTTGTTTGTAATAAAAATAAACTTAGTATTGTAAAGTGGTTTGATAATAAACAGGTCATATTGGTGAGTTCCTATGTTCGTATACCCTGCCGAAAATATAAAACGATTCAGCAAAGAAGCAAAATCTCGTGTTGATGTGAAATGTCCTAAAATTGTTAAAGACTCGTCACATGGGAGGTGTCGATTTGGCAGACATGCTGATTGCATAATATCGCAATGGAATGAGATCGCACAGGTGGTATATGAATATTTTCTCGCAGCTTTTGGATATATGCATCAACGCTTGGCTTTTACGTCGGCGGACAACCAAATGACCAACACCACTAGAAAGCAAGGAGAAAAGATTTTAGGTATGAAATCTACAGCGGCCTACTGAATGACTGACGCAATCGGACCAAGAAAAAAAAAAACACCGGTATCTAAACGACCATATGATGTCCAGTATGACAAATATGACCATTGGCCGCAAATATAAGAGGTGCAAGTACTGCAAAGCTGGCCAGCCATGTACACAAAATGCAAGGTTCAGCTTGTTATGTGAAGAATCAAAACTGTTTTTTGGACCACCGCAAGCAATAGGGTCTCTGAATTATTATATTACGATTATTTAGTTGTTCAAGAAAGATTTATTTTATTAAAAATTTTTACTTCCACCAAGAGAGTTATTTTTATTTGCAATCATGTTATTTCATCATCTTTTGGTATATGTTAAAACTACTAGTAACATTCCAACTCTTCTAAGCATAGCAATGTATAGCATAATATACATTCCTAAAAATGCGACAATCACTGTACGTGCAGCAATGTATAGAATAGCATATATCTTGTTTTTCCAAAATTTTCAAATCACAATTTTTTATTTATTTTTTTGATGATTTTTATACGCCAAAGAAACTACCTATATATTTTTTTGCTTTTCTTCAAAAAAGCGAAAATAATATCATAAAATGTGCCTAACAATTGCACAATCAGTATTCTTATATTAGGATTAAGCGTTCTAAAATATAATGCGTAATTGTTTCGAATTATTATACCGTTTCACACTGAGTTACGTAAATTCGCAAATTCAATGCAGAACGCAGGATTTCGAAACGTAATAAAGTTCAAGGATTAATGCTATTATTTACATTAAACAAGCGATATAATAATTTTTAAATAGCGGTATTCAAATTGAATATTAAGTTTCATAATTTCAAGAACAGAGTATAAGTAATATTGCTTTTATTTGTGAAAACGGCGATTAAAAAAAAACTAAATAAAATTCTACTATTTGGATTAATTAATACACTAAATTCCTCGTAGACTATAGTTTGTAGTATTTATTTATATATATTTTTTTATGATACAGGAGGCAGACGGGCAGGAGGCTCACCTGATGTTAAGTGATATGTGTGTGGACACTCGCACTGCCAGAAGGCTCGCAAGCGCGCTGCCGGCCTTTTAAGAATTGGTACGCTCTTTTCTTGAAGGACCCTAAGTCGAATAGGTTCGGAAATACTTCAGTGGGCAGCTGGTTCCACGTAGTGGTGGTGCGCGGCAGAAATTGCCTTAAGAATCGCTTAGTTGTGGAACGACCGACGTCAAGGTGATCGGATGGTATTTTGTATTCTGCCTTGACGTCCGATGATGAAACTCAGCTGCAGGTAATCCGAACAACTCCTCTGAACACTCTCCATGGTAACTGCGGTAGAAGATGCAGAGTGACCCCACATCTCTACGCAACGCCAATTGATCAAGCCGCTTGGAAAGTGACTGGTCGTCGACGATTCGAATCGCTCTTCGTTGAATACGGTCAAGTGGAAGGAGCTGGTTTATATGCTGTTTATAAGCACCGCATCAGCAGATTCTTTGAGAAGGCATTACTTGCGTAACTAATACTGACACAGACTTATTTAAGACGGCTAATAACTTAATCTTAATATATATAAATTACGTGTCACGTTGTTTGTCCGCTATGGACTCTTTAAACTACCGAACCGATATCAATCAAATTTGTACACCGTGTGCAGTTTGATCTAAGTTAAAAGATAGGATAGCTTACATCTCAATTAATACCCGCAATATTATTTTTTGCAAAATATTTGTTTATTATGTTGTCCCCATGACAGATGTTCTCCTACCGTTTCCCTTGAATAGTTTACTATGTAATATAACAAAAACCTTAGCCACAGCAACGCTTGGCCGGTCTGCTAGTGTTTATATAATGAATAGGATGTCAATACATGCCCGGATATTAGTCTGTTCTCTAATATAATTATTGATTATCAGCACATTCAGGCAATTCTTCAGCTTTATAAGTACAGATATATTACAATTTAAACAACGTTTCATCTCGCCCGCTCTCCTTCATTTGGCAACTACCACTTCCAAAAGCGATACCTCCTGATCTTAATAATGAGTTTCTAATAAACAACGATTTTGTGTAGTAAACTTCGCGATCGGATTAGTTACAAAGTAGCCCTGTATGAGAATGACATCTCACTCTATCACGTGACCATTATTTATAGAAATTTAGCTGTTTGGCGATAATAAGTTGTAGCAAAGTAATTTTATTTTCCTAGTAGTAAATGTTTAAGTCCTTCCAATTATTTTTTTAATACTGACGTTCTAGTTATATGAATAAATTAATTTTGATTTGACATACCTGTCCTAAAGGCGGCGTGGCACACAGCAAGTCATTTAGAATGTGTATGATGGTGGATATATCTCTCTTTGGTCGGCCATATCTGGAAAATTAAGAATTATATTAAGTCTACTATTAAGTATCAGAAAAAATAGTAATAATAACCCACGGAAGACGTAATTTAAGTTTTTTTAACATCGTGTGATTTAAGGTTTTGCCTACAGCGGTAACACGAATAATATGAAAGTTAAATCAAAAATAATATATAACCAATATCTCTCTCTGGCCAAAAATTTATAGAATATTTTCGATAAGAGAAAATGTATGAACTATACTTTCAAGCTGTCAACAGCGCATAGACATACAAACCTATTGAAATGTTAGTGGGAATTGATAATAAACAAATGATAATTTTCAACCATAAACAAAATATCATATTGACAATTAATTGACTGCTTTGAGTTTGAAATTTATGGAAAGCACACAATATAAATGATGGTGGATCAGCTAAAACAAACAAAATATTGATTGTACAAGGGAACATTACTCGTTATTATTATAGTAGGAAAAAAGCTAAGACAAATACTTAAGCGCATCTAAAGAAGTAAAGTTCTAATTCTAACTACTAACTACAGCAATGATAATTAAAACAAATAAAGAAATGTATCCACCCTAAGGCCATTAACTCCAACACCAATTGCTTTTGAGTACACCTTTGTATAAATTAACAATACATATAGTATTGGTACCCCTTAATTACGGTAATTGTTCTTTTATTATTATACCCTGGTATAATAATAAAATAACAATTTATAAAGAAATGTATTGTATAGTACAGTGATATAATAATACATGTGTCCTTCATAAGAAATATTAAGAGCTTGTGTGAGCAGAACTGTTTGGCATTGGCTAATAAAAACAATACACATGATTTATATTTATTGATATTTTGATGTTGGCAGCTTAGGAAGCCATAGCCATTAGCCATATCTCAAAATTTTGATTAATACAGAGATAAATTAAAAACAGCATTGACATTATAACATGTACCAGAAATGCCATTTCAAGATTTCTAGGAATGGCTCTTCATGTTCATTTTAGATAACATTGTTTTATTGTATATTAAAATTCATGTGACATATCGCCTCAAACATATTTGTCTTTGTGTAAATCTTACACCATAGATACCATAGATTAACCATAGATCAAACTCTATCCTTAACAGTTGTTAATTAATTTCTCTCTAAAAAGTATAGATTTTAAGACCTTTTATTTAAAATATGAAAGCGACTTAACTACTTTTGTAAGCCATTTAAAATGGTGAAAAATCAGGTGTTTTAAAATTATAACATAAATTTAGTAATTAATTCAATGGACATTTGACCACGCTATTAAACAATCCAATAGCTCATGATAACGATTGCTGACTGTTTTTCTTCAATGCCTCATTATATTTTAGACTTACAGTGCTGTATCAATTATTGTCATAATAAATAGATACTCATAATGTTTACAAAATAATTAATAAACCATGAAGTTAAAAGTAAGGTATGTTAGGTCATATGTAAATGTAAGTGGAATAGAACAGACTTACTAAGGTCTGTTATTACAATAATAACAAAAGGCTTCATATTAATATCAAAAAATAAAGAACAATACTTGGTAGTAATAAGAATTGTAAACATTGTAAATAACAATTTTGTATATAATTTCTACAGTTTCTGTACTTCATCAGCATAAACTATTTATAGTGCTATTAATGACATCACAGATTGACTAGTTAAAAAAGGTTAGTTTGTATGAGCAACAAGGCAAGCCAATTCTAGTTGAGTATTTTTGATGTACAGTAGTCGGTAGGTAGGTAGAGTTTGACATTAGATTAAGTTACATGCTTGCTACTAAACAATAGCAGCATAATATATAATTTTCTTACCTGTCTTGAAGGGCAGGATTCAATGTACCAGAAAATGTTCCAGAATAAATTCCTCGGCCGTGATGTTTCATAGACTCAATAACAGCACCCGGACTAATTTTGGACCGCACTGACTGTTCTAATGTCTTGATATCAATTTTTTTTGTCAAAACCTCCTTTGATAGTTTACGTAGCTTTTGAGTGAGGCTCCTGGATGCTTCTTTAAGAGCACTGGTGTCTATAACTGGAATTTCTTCAGTTGATGTGGATGCAATAGGTGTTTGCTTAGAAGTTGAGGGTATTGCATATATATCAGTCTGACTGCCCGTAGCAATCTTTGTCACTGAAGGCTCTGACTTTGAGGTAGACGGTTGTGGAGTGACACTTTCTATTTGTATGCTTCTTTTCTTATTTGCCACTTGCAAAAATGCCTTCTGCTTATTCTGGCTGATAGGATGCTTAAACTTTGATGTCTTGTGAAGTAAATATTGGAAACGCTTATTTTTCAATGGCTCATTGATGCTCTGAAATGACGGCAGTGGTCCTGCTGTGGTTTCTTGTGTGCCATGGCTGGTTGTGGCTAAATTAGATATCTCACGGTCCATCATTGTTTCGTCATGTTCAGTAAATAGGCCTTTGTCAACTGCACTGTTAAATAAATTCTCCATAGGATATTCATCTATTGTATTCTCGGCAAGAAATGAACTTTGCTCTGTAAAATTATCACTATCATCACTCATAGAACTATCAGTGTGTGTTGTAGATGCACATGGCTTGTCACATGAGCTCGTAGAAGGCATATCAATGGAAGATTTATTTGATAACAAGTCAAGCAGGCTGCTTTTCACTGAATTTGCAATTGCCTTAGCATCTCTGTTCTCAGGGGTAGAGTGTATTGGACTAGACACCAGATTTGATAGGGACTTAATAGGTGACTGATCACTTTCCCCAGAGGTTTCAGCTAGATCTGACAAAGTACAATTTGAGGAATTTCCATCCTCTTTGTTTGTGTCACTTTTGTCACCATACTTCTCTTCAGCCATAGATCTGTACAAGTCAAAAGCATTTTGCAATAAATCTAAATCATGTTTTTCAAAACGTAACTCCTCTTTGTGTTTGTCTTTACTAGAAGAGGCAGTGGCTGCTTGAGCCTTTTGGGCAGAAGCTTGGGAATTAGTTGCTTCCTTGGACTCAGCTTTTGCTTGAGAGGCTTTAGCTGAATTTCTCAATGAACGACTAGAGTTGAGGGTTGATAACTGTAGCTGTATTAGCATCATGTGGTCCCCTAGCCTCATGGTAAGATTCAAGGGTGACCTTCCACTCAAAAAGTCATTCACTTGATTGTCATTTAAAGTTTCTAATGCTTGCATTACTGAGTTCTCTGATCTATGAGTCTGTAAACAAAAGAAATAAAATAAAACATCCACTTGAAAATGATAAGTATTATGAATACTTGAATATTATGAAACACGTGATTATCATGGGACATTGAGTAGGCTTGCGAAACTGCGTCACGTACGTACCAAGAGTCCAGTTTCGACGCTCGGCAGCAAAATGACACGCGACCCATCCAGTAGGCCATTTTCTTCTAAAGTCCCATCAATAAGTTGTCTGCAAAGAGCAAACCAAACATCAATAATCGAGTCAAAGGACGCGAATGCGTCATCGTATCGACGCAACTTATTTCCGTGATACCTATGTTTAACAATAGATGCTTGGCGTCCGACGCCTCCGTTATTACCTTTCGCGATGTAACAAGCATATTCGATCCTTGGACACTTTCAATTTCCTTGAAACGAGTTTTTTCAGGTACTCCACTGAATTTTTACAGTTCACGCTAATGGAGAAATTACCACCAGTCGTCGTTTGTATATTCAGCGTTATGTCCGAGGAATGGGTTGAGCCACACCCGAACACCTCTGTTCCTGTTGCACGTTCCATATTATACACATAAATAACACTATTATCTTACTGTATTTCTATTTAGTCAAAGCAGAACTTCACTAGAATTACACAGCTATTTTATTGTAGGAAAAAATTAACAGGGTCACACGCTAGACCCCAGATTTGATGTGGCCGTCGGTGTGACCAATCTCCATCGTCGATTTCCCGTTATTTTTTTCTATAACAGCTGATGCGAAGCGCTACTCTCACAACACTCCGTTACATGCAGAATTATTTACGAACCGAAAGAAAAAAATAAGAAATAACTATTGAAATGTTATTAATTTGACGCCACATAAAAGATTATTATTTAAACAATAAAAAAATACGCAATCAAGATCAAAAATGACAAATTCAGAAAATTATAGAGATTTATACGATTATTGCGAATGAAGTTGGATATTTTACTACGTAAGTTGAAATCAAAATTGTCAAATTTTTACAAATCACATATGACGCTTCCATTCCGCGGGCATTTTAAAATATTTAGATTTTGAAATAACTTTAATTTATATATTACGTAGTTATAGAAAAAGCTGGGAAATTGAACAAGACTACCGAAAAAATATAATGAGTCAAGTGAGATCATTCTAAAATAACGGAAAAATTATTGGTTTAGGCACTTCGATTATTCAAGTTGCAAAACTTACAAAAAATTAAGGACAGAGTATATAGGTATGGACATATTAAAATTATGTTATTGTATTATGATAAGACTCGTGACTCACATAAATATTAACTTTAATATAAACACAAATTATAAATAATAGTGTTATTACGTTCTCCTTAAGTACGTATAAAACAATAACTTCATATCAATACAAATAAATATGAAAAAAAAATTGTTTTCGATCAAGTGATTAGGTACGTAATCCCAATAAAGTGTAGATGGGTAACGTAAAAGTGCTGTGGCCTGTGGGTTAGTTTGAAAACAATGCGTACATTACCAGCTGTACAAGCTTAATTAAGATCACATTGTAAATTTTGAAATAAATTGTTTTAGTATCATAACTGCAATAGAGATTTTTATAGATTACTTTTCAGGCGCCATATTTTCTATTCTGTTTCTGACAGATCTCAAAAAGAAGTTAACTTGTAATCCTTCTTAAGTGGGTATCTTTTAAAAGCATTAAGGAAACTTGAATTTACTGGTGTAATACGTATAAATGTTCAAATTTCACTTATTGATAAGAAAGGTGTTCATTGTTAGAGGACACGGTCTTTATGTTTAAATTGTATTTTTTTGTATAAAACTTGCATCTTAAAAATTCTAATTTTATAAGATCGTAAAACGTGCATTAGGGATCGTAAAGGTATTTCTCACATTAACAGTATCATAGACAACGAGGAATTTCTAAAAGCCCTTGATGACCCATATATTATGATTTATTTTCGTGTTTGTGTAACTTTTATTAAACTATAATGGTAATATGGCTTGTTATCTAAAAAAAAACTACATGTCGAATAGTGCTCTCCTTCTTTAGGTTTTAAATAAAAGACAGTATTATCCTTAACCCTTCTTTATTGACCCAGCACCTAACAACGATAACAAACAAACATAATCTATCACAGCAACATTTACTTTTCTTACAAAAAATTGGGAAACGTGATTTACAGAATAGCGAATATGATCATGTATACACAAATAAATTATGTTTAAAATATAGAAATAGGTAACCATTTTAAATTATTGAAATGGAAGTCCTAACGCGTCGGCAGCCATTTTGCATTGCAGTGCGCGGGAGTTTTTAAAGTACATAGCATGTTAAAATATTCCCCATTTTAAAAATATACTCCTTTGAGATATATTAATCTTAAATTTAAATACTATTGTACAATTTTATATTTTCTTAGTCTGACGAAAACTAAATTAAAAATATTTTGAATTTAAAATATGTTCTTATATAGTGAATAGTTACATATTATACCATCGAACATGGACGCCAATAATTAGTTAATTAGGAATTATATTATTGATTAAATTATATCACAAGTGCTTAATGTCGTGGCCCAATCGTTAATTCACTGTTCTGGTCAACTACTTATAAATGTTACGTTTATCCTGTATATTTAAGTTAAATGCTGATTAATAATTGATTTCATGTTTGCCACATTACAAGGCAATTCCACGATGAAGCCACAACATAATATGATTAAATATAGGGTATATACCTACTTATCCATAAAAATTAAATCAATAATAAAAAAAATAATCTTGTGTTTCGGAAGAGTCTGATCACCCACAACACAGGAATGTCCTAGTGTGACCAGCGTATTGTAACAATGTAACACTAATATGGTTTAATATTTAATATATTATTGATAGATAGGCTTGACAAACGATGACAGATTGGTCGAAACGAGGATGACGTGGCATGTAAAAATGTCTTCGCCTGTCTAATTCTAATACTGTCTTGAAGTTTCATTTCGTAGGACACTTTTGTTCGAAATATGTGTATTTGTAATTTAGGGATAATAATTAAGGCTTAAAATCTCAAACTTTGTTTACATGTATTCAGGCCTGGTTCGTCATAGAGTCTCGCGCGCCATCTTGCCAAGACACGCGTTTTGGCGGGATCTTGAAATAATGAATGTTTGAGTTTTTAAAGCTTTAACTTGACAGAATAGAAATAACAAATGTGTAGGTTTTATAGTCACTTATAAATATTCTGTTATAGTTTTAAAAATCTTGCCAAATAGCCTATTACACTGATTAATTTTTATGAATAAGGAAGTTAATTTATACGTCCAAGATCGTTACCAAGTTATGATCTTGATTAAACGTGTGATATTGGTTGAGAGTTTTTTTTTAGTTTAATTACACTTTAATAAATTATTAACTATAGATAGAGCACAGATAGTGAATTTTGTACTTTTTGTGATATTTAAGGTTGAAACTACAATAAAATAGCACTGGATAAATACCTGATAGGTACCTTATCAACATACCTACTATAGCTTTAAATAGTTAATTGATGTAAAAACTAAAAAAAATTAAACTTATAACACCACAATTATACTAAATACTAAAGAAAATCCGGTTTCAAAAACTAACGGATTCTTTAATAGTGACATCAAGTACATATCTTCATATGATTTAAAAAGCAATGAAAATTGGTGGCTCTATATATGTCAACGTAAAATTGTAAAAACCGTTAGATTGTAATCTATCTCGCGAGATTGTAAACTGTCGAAAAATTGTGAACTCAACGTATTGCTTACGATGTCGTCTTGAAAGTAACTCACAGCTTTAGGATGTTCAAAGTGAACGTGAAAAGTTATATGAAAATGTTGTGGAAGTAAAATTAATCTGTGATTGACCAAAGAAGTGCAGTTTGAATGATAATTAAGTTAGTGTTGGTCTCCAAACATAGTCTAAATTACATACATTTTCCGTGTTTTAATATTTTTTATTCGCGTGAACCTTTGTGATCTTGTATTTACAATGTCGGATATTGAGCCTGTCGATAAACAAAACTCAGAAATATTAGGTATTGTTAATAAGGAAGAATTTACCATAGAGTTACAAAACTATTACAGCGGGCATAATGAAAATAGTAAAAAATTTAATTGCAAAAAAATAAAAAGAAAGATAATGTTCTTTGTAACTCCAGGTGCCACAACTCGTTGACGTGCAACAATAATTGAACATTTTTATTGATGCAATTTACTTTCTTATTTTTTATATAATAGACAATTTTGTTATGTTTTCAAAAACGTTCATATGTTTTCGATTTGTTTTTTTTTTAATTTTGATTTTATTTTGTGATCGTTTTTTTCTAAAAGAAAATTTCATTAATTTTTCAATTTTAATTTGTGTTTGAAGAGAAAATATTGTTGCGTTTCTGATTTTTTTATTTTGATATATTTTTTTTTTTCATCATGTGATGTCAGAATTATTGATATAATAAATACTAATTTTTGAAGTGCATTCATTTTATTTGACCGATACCCTTGTTTCATTCCTAACTCTATGGACATAATATAACGGTCTACTATAAAGCCGACCAATCAGCGCGCGAGGTGCGTACCGTTTCACAATTTGACGATTTCACTTCGATAGATTATAATCTACCGAATAATAATACGTTAAATTGTAAGCAGTACGTTGAGTTCACAATCTTTCGACAATTTATAATCTCGCGAGATAAATTACAATCTAACGGTATTTACAATTTTACGTTAACATATACAAAAATAGTGGGAGATGGGTTATTATTAAAATTATATAATCATATGTGCTGAGCATTATTTAAGATTTTTCATAAAGCTTGATATTTTAATTGCTATTGTTAAATTGTATATTTTTAAATATATATATGGGAATAGATCAAACAATAAACAATGGTCTAATTAATAGCCGAGCACCATTATAAAAAAAATTATAAAAACATTTGTTCATTATATATGAAATCACTGAAAACGTCAATATTCGAATTTTACGTATTCAAAATTAGTACAAAGAGTCAAAAAGTAGATTGGCTACTTAAAAATATTTAATCTATACTAGATTATGGACCAAATTAATCTTTAAACGTGTATAGATTATAGACCAAAGTCATAGACAAGGATATGGCCGAGAGTTTCTTTTGCAATCCGTTAACAAAGCTGTGACTGTTAGGCTAATGTCCAGTCTGTGGGTAAGGAGAACTATCATGGGAGATCGCAGTGCTAAATTGCTTTTTATATTGACCACAGTGTTTCCGTCATTCTAGTTTGACTGTAATTTAATACGAAACATAATTAATTTGTGTATAAATGACGTGTAGCAACTTTCTCATAATTTAAATATATTTATATTATAATATAAAGTCACAACGACAATTAAATGTTTTCCATATTTAGAATTTTGTCTAATAGACCAACTTTAACATTTATAATGCTTAATTTATTTTATTAAACATAGTAGATTATCATATTTATAAATAAATTTTTATTATTATTTTTTACTATCTCTCTCTTTTCTCCGAAGCGTAAACACATTTTGACAGAACAACTACTTTAAGAGGTTGTGTCAATTGTCAATTCATTGTCTATGGTTCAATATACAATCTATACATGTCAACTTAGAACAATCACGATCCGAATTCCTGTGTAGAGTTATCAATCTCCCCAAAAACGTAACCCCCTCGACCATCCATTTGTAAGTAATGATCGTGGTGTTGCCATAATGATTTACGGTGAGATACCGTAAATAGAGAAATGCCCATCTGAAAATATAATGGAAAAGTTATTTTTCATATATTTTTAAATCAAATTCTAGACTGGGTTTTTTTGTAAGTAACTTAGAACATAATTTTAAATGATCTAAAGAGATCAAAATTTACAAGTTAAATATGTGTCTATAGACATATTTCAATAAGCTTCCTTTCCATCTTTTATCAAACACTTCGATTTCGTTTCGCCATTCGCGCCATTCGTTACATACTAACATATGGAACCATTTACTATGCTACCCCATAGAGACTTTTCTTTCCGGAATAAAAACCCAAGTACTAAATAACACTAAATTTTTCTCTCCATAAAAACCTTCCTCAGACTTCAAGGAATAAAATATAATCGAATGGGTTCAGCCATCTTCCACTTTACCTAGCAACATATTTAGCGATTCATTTTTATACATTACCTCTCTGCAGTATTGGTACATGTGCCCTTCAACGTCCACCGACACTGCGCTCGTACACTCGTCCAGAATCGCGAATTGTGGCGCGTGGTAGAAAAGACGCGCCATCTAATAAATAACATTATGTTACAAAATAAAAATTTATATCATTTTTGCGTCTTCTGTCTAAATTAATATTATAAAAAGGAAAGATTAGATTTTTTGGTTTGCATTAAAGGCTGTGCAACTACTGGATCGATTTGAGAAATACTTTCACCATTAGGATCCTACATTATCCCATTACCATAGGCTACAGAATACTTCTAAAAACTATTGACAATAGAGCAAAGTGATGCACAGTTTTATAGAAGACAACATCAACAAAAAAGTCGGCGCTAAGTCTAACAATTAAAAAAATGCATTCAACGACCAATTTAATAATTTATAGCAAAAATCTTCCTACTGCCTTAGCCTAGAAATTTTTAGTATAAAATGCTCGCCTCATCGCACCTATAGTTGGTGACTCCGACGTAATCATTTGTGTGATTTGACATTTTATTTCAAAAAGATGGCTACGTCAGGTAAAGACGAAATGTGCCGCGTTGGTATAAAAGTTCCGCCATTGAACCAACCGCATTTGGCCGCACTTTGGTTCTTACAACTGGAGAGTCAATTTGTGTTGGCCAACATTACCTCAGAAGGAACGCATTTTGTTTCAAACAAAATTTAGACTACATAATATATATTGTGAAGTGAAAGGCATATCAAAATCACCGACGCGGAAAAGAGGAGTTGCATTATTGTTCGACACACTGTTATTTAAGATTATATTAATAATAATATAGTATAAATTCTGATTTTTAATTCCGTTGAATTCTGACATTTCATAAGTGTTGCTACTAAAAAAGTTCTCCTGCTACGTATTTTTTATGATTTACCTACAAAAAGTAGGTAACTCTAAATATTTACTTACTCAAGGGACCTAATACAAAAATAACAAATTGTATTTCAATATCACGAACAATATATCGAATTAACTTTAATTAGTTTATTTTATTCTTTATCTGGCATCACAATGGCCTACTAATTCCAGGTTTAGTAAACCTTTTAAAAAAAATAAAATGTTATCTTTACTTGTGCCTTTTTACTGTTTGTGATGAAAAGGGACGTAATTATCACTCGCCGTTAAACCACTTTTAATGTGGAGCATTTCATAAAATGGATACATTCACTAACAAATAAAATGTATGAATAGACTCAGATGTTCAAATTAGTATTGAAATTGAAAAATGTGCCCGGCCAAAAAGGTTTGGCCATCTCTGACATGTCAAAAAATGATAACTGTCAGAATTCTACGGAATAAAAAATCAGAGTATAGTGACTATTCACGTTTATAGAGATGTTTATTTATTTATTAAAAGTAAAAAACTAAATACCAAAATTTATGTGAAGGTGCGATATAAATTGATCACAATTTCTGTCCATCGATATTACGATTGGATATTTAAATGTGTAGTACTCGTGAAAGAAATACAATAGAATTGTAATCAAAGACTATATTATAAGACTAATTCCGCACTAGGGCCTTTCCTCTGTACGTCCAGTAGCTACAGAATATATCTAATTTTATAAAATTAGCTCACCGCAATCCTCTGTTTCTCTCCACCGGAGAGTACATCCATCCAGTCTTCTACAGCATCCCAGCCACCGTCCCTAGTAGCGAGATACGACAGCTGTACGATATCGAGGTATCGCTCCAACTCTTCGTCCGTACGACCCCGACGAACCATTTCGTCCCGAGTTTGTGGGTATATTATCTAGAAATACAATTATATATTGAATGCTTTTAAAAAGCAAAAAAGCTAATCAGTTGCACCTATACGTATTTGACACTGATAGAATTGGATAGATATCTATTTTAAAGCAAGTGTGCTTTTGTAGTGTGTGTGTTTGTCTACAAATTAAAAAAAATATTGATGAAATAACTTAAAAAATCAGTCCAAGTTTCATCAGAATGGGCGCAGTAGTTTATGAGATCCATGCATTTCCTGATACGTATATTATTACTTCTATCCTAGCAAATAGTTCAATTACGAGATAACTATATTTTTTTATTATTTCAATATTTACTGGGAAAGATTGAAATAATAGAAAAATATAGAAAAATTCAAAAAAGAGTTTGAGTTTGAAACTCCGCAAACTTCCTAAATTATTGAATTTTTTTAGAAAAAAAAATATTTTTATCTACCCTCAATTGTCAACCTCAATTAGTCGACCAATTAGGTTCTATTCTATCATACACACCTGATCCCTGAAAGTCCCCAAAGTCATATACGGCCTCTGTGGTACATAAAACAGCTTGCCTTTAGGTGGCTTTACGAGGGTACCACCAAATATAGGCCAAAGTTCTCCAAGCATTCGGAACATCGACGACTTCCCACAACCATTCGGGCCACAGACTAGGACGTTGATACCGGATCTGAGGAAAGTAATGGTGATAAAAAGCACTTTCAAATTTTCTATCTAACTTTTATCAAACGACTTCAAAAACGGAGGCTATTGAACGTATAAAACTTTGTAATTTTGTGCTTTTTTATAGGATAGGGCAAACGACCTAACGGGACGCCCATAAAGGGCAGTCATCGCAGCATCTAATTTTAGTTAGTGCGTTGCCGGCCTTTGAGAACTGTTAATTTTTTAAACAATTGTAGGACGTATTTCCCAGGGAAGGCCAAAATAATTTTGATTGTAATTTAACTGTAAAGAATTTAAGGTTTAAAAAATTAAATATATATTATGAACTAGCTGCCCCAGCGAACTTCGTTTCGCCTTTATTATTTTTTTACTTTTTTAATTATTATTTTTTTACTACCTTTCTAGTAGCTACATAACAACATATATTACTACAACATACCCCATAGTCTTTTCGCTTTTCCCAATTTTTTATTCCCTCAATAAGGACCTTCCTCAGAGTTAAAAGAATAAATACTCCAATAGGTCCAGCCGTCTTCGAGTTTTGAGCTAAGCAACATATTTTGCCTGAGCAGTGTTGGCCTAGTGGCTTCAGCGTGCGACTCTCATCCCTGATGTCGTAGGTTCGATCCCCAGCTGTGCACCAATGGACTTTCTGTCTATGTGCGCATTTAACATTCGCTCGAACGGTGAAGGAAAACATCGTGAGGAAACCGACATGTCTTAGACCCAAAAGTAGACGGCATGTGTCAGTCACTAGAGGCTAATCATCTACTTGCCTATTAGATTTAAAAATGATCATGAAACAGATTCAGAAATCTGAGGCCAAGACCTAAAAGAGGTAGTAGTGCTACTGATTTATTTTAACATATTTTGCGATACATTAATATGTACGTAGATTTAACGTGCACGTGCACTGTCGTGAAGAATCTTGAGCTTCCACAAACAAGTGAGTACAAATTCGCAAAATTGCAAAAAAATATACAATTCAGGTACGAATAAACAAAATTATGTTAATATATACTAACTTTACTTCAAAGGTAAGTTCCTTAATGAGTACGTCTCCGTTGGGCGTGACCAGTGGCACCTTGTCAAAACTTATAATTTTGTCTTGGTATATAATTTTACCCGCCCCAGGTGTTAGTGCCAATGTACTCGGTCCCACTGTAAAGAGTAAAGATCCATCACAATAGAGTAGAGAATATTGGCCACGTGCAACCCTTAACACTGCGTGCGTTCGGACGTTGCACCAATGGAACTTCTAGCTTTCTCCTACGGTGAAGGAAAACCATAGTTTCGATATGCGGTTTTCTTCGTAGTACAGGGGGCACACGGGCATGAGGCTCACCTGATGTTAAGTGATACCGCCGCCCATGGACGCTCACACTGCCAGAAGGCAGAAGTGCGTTGTCCCCCTTTTACGAATTGGTCCTCTCTGATCTTGAAGGACCCTAAGTCGAATTGGTTCGGAAATACTTCAGAGGGCAGCTGGTGGTGGTGGTGGTGCGCGGCAAAAGTGCCTTAAGAAGCGCTCAGTTATGTTGTGTTTTTAATATATTATATACACATATAACATGTGTATAATACAGTTAAAAGTTTTTATAATGTTCCACGCGGTGATAAATTTAAGAAAATTTGACTTGTTAAACACTCAAATTGAATGAAATTTTTATATCGTGTTTATTTGCTTGCTTCTATAAGGCTTCGAGAAAAGACATCACCGAGTCCCAACTAAAACCATGATAATTATTTTTGAAGTGAAACTTCTTTAGGTGCATGAGGGTAAAATTTTTACGGATGAAACGAGAAAGTGAGAGAAGTGAGAAGGGCAAATTACCTTATAGAAATTCTATTTTTAAAATTAAAATTTTGTAAAGAGAATTTATGAAATATTAGTATTTTATATTTTATGGAAAATAATTTATTTATTATTATTTTTACTATCTCTCTCTTTTCTCCGAAGCGTAAACACATTTTGACAGAACAACTACTTTAAAAGGTTGTGTCAATTGTCAATTCATTGTCTATGGTTCAATATACAATCTATACATGTCAACTTAGAACAATCACGATCCGAATTCCTGTGTAGAGTTATCAATCTCCCCAAAAACGTAACCCCCTCGACCATCCATTTGTAAGTAATGATCGTGGTGTTGCCATAATGATTTACGGTGAGATACCGTAAATAGAGAAATGCCCATCTGAAAATATAATGGAAAAGTTATTTTTCATATATTTTTAAATCAAATTCTAGACTGGTTTTTTTGTAAGTAACTTAGAACATAATTTTAAATGATCTAAAGAGATCAAAATTTACAAGTTAAATATGTGTCTATAGACATATTTCAATAAGCTTCCTTTCCATCTTTTATCAAACACTTCGATTTCGTTTCGCCATTCGCGCCATTCGTTACATACTAACATATGGAACCATTTACTATGCTACCCCATAGAGACTTTTCTTTCCGGAATAAAAACCCAAGTACTAAATAACACTAAATTTTTCTCTCCATAAAAACCTTCCTCAGACTTCAAGGAATAAAATATAATCGAATGGGTTCAGCCATCTTCCACTTTACCTAGCAACATATTTAGCGATTCATTTTTATACATTACCTCTCTGCAGTATTGGTACATGTGCCCTTCAACGTCCACCGACACTGCGCTCGTACACTCGTCCAGAATCGCGAATTGTGGCGCGTGGTAGAAAAGACGCGCCATCTAATAAATAACATTATGTTACAAAATAAAAATTTATATCATTTTTGCGTCTTCTGTCTAAATTAATATTATAAAAAGGAAAGATTAGATTTTTTGGTTTGCATTAAAGGCTGTGCAACTACTGGATCGATTTGAGAAATACTTTCACCATTAGGATCCTACATTATCCCATTACCATAGGCTACAGAATACTTCTAAAAACTATTGACAATAGAGCAAAGTGATGCACAGTTTTATAGAAGACAACATCAACAAAAAAGTCGGCGCTAAGTCTAACAATTAAAAAAATGCATTCAACGACCAATTTAATAATTTATAGCAAAAATCTTCCTACTGCCTAGCCTAGAAATTTTTAGTATAAAATGCTCGCCTCATGCGCACCTATAGTTGGTGACTCCGACGTAATCATTTGTGTGATTTGACATTTTATTTCAAAAGATGGCTACGTCAGGTAAAGACGAAATGTGCCGCGTTGGTATAAAAGTTCCGCCATTGAACCAACCGCATTTGGCCGCACTTTGGTTCTTACAACTGGAGAGTCAATTTGTGTTGGCCAACATTACCTCAGAAGGAACGCATTTTGTTTCAAACAAAATTTAGACTACATAATATATATTTGTGAAGTGAAAGGCATATCAAAATCACCGACGCGGAAAAGAGGAGTTGCATTATTGTTCGACACACTGTTATTTAAGATTATATTAATAATAATATAGTATAAATTCTGATTTTTAATTCCGTTGAATTCTGACATTTCATAAGTGTTGCTACTAAAAAAGTTCTCCTGCTACGTATTTTTTATGATTTACCTACAAAAAGTAGGTAACTCTAAATATTTACTTACTCAAGGGACCTAATACAAAAATAACAAATTGTATTTCAATATCACGAACAATATATCGAATTAACTTTAATTAGTTTATTTTATTCTTTATCTGGCATCACAATGGCCTACTAATTCCAGGTTTAGTAAACCTTTAAAAAAAAATGTTATCTTTACTTGTGCCTTTTTACTGTTTGTGATGAAAAGGGACGTAATTATCACTCGCCGTTAAACCACTTTTAATGTGGAGCATTTCATAAAATGGATACATTCACTAACAAATAAAATGTATGAATAGACTCAGATGTTCAAACTCGTATTGAAATTGAAAAATGTGCCCGGCCAAAAAGGTTTGGCCATCTCTGACATGTCAAAAAATGATAACTGTCAGAATTCTACGGAATAAAAAATCAGAGTATAGTGACTATTCACGTTTATAGAGATGTTTATTTATTTATTAAAAGTAAAAAACTAATACCAAAATTTATGTGAAGGTGCGATATAAATTGATCACAATTTCTGTCCATCGATATTACGATTGGATATTTAAATGTGTAGTACTCGTGAAAGAAATACAATAGAATTGTAATCAAAGACTATATTATAAGACTAATTCCGCACTAGGGCCTTTCCTCTGTACGTCCAGTAGCTACAGAATATATCTAATTTTATAAAATTAGCTCACCGCAATCCTCTGTTTCTCTCCACCGGAGAGTACATCCATCCAGTCTTCTACAGCATCCCAGCCACCGTCCCTAGTAGCGAGATACGACAGCTGTACGATATCGAGGTATCGCTCCAACTCTTCGTCCGTACGACCCCGACGAACCATTTCGTCCCGAGTTTGTGGGTATATTATCTAGAAATACAATTATATATTGAATGCTTTTAAAAAGCAAAAAAGCTAATCAGTTGCACCTATACGTATTTGACACTGATAGAATTGGATAGATATCTATTTTAAAGCAAGTGTGCTTTTGTAGTGTGTGTGTTTGTCTACAAATTAAAAAAAATATTGATGAAATAACTTAAAAAATCAGTCCAAGTTTCATCAGAATGGGCGCAGTAGTTTATGAGATCCATGCATTTCCTGATACGTATATTATTACTTCTATCCTAGCAAATAGTTCAATTACGAGATAACTATATTTTTTTTATTATTTCAATATTTACTGGGAAAGATTGAAATAATAGAAAAATATAGAAAAATTCAAAAAAGAGTTTGAGTTTGAAACTCCGCAAACTTCCTAAATTATTGAATTTTTTTAGAAAAAAAATATTTTTATCTACCCTCAATTGTCAACCTCAATTAGTCGACCAATTAGGTTCTATTCTATCATACACACCTGATCCCTGAAAGTCCCCAAAGTCATATACGGCCTCTGTGGTACATAAAACAGCTTGCCTTTAGGTGGCTTTACGAGGGTACCACCAAATATAGGCCAAAGTTCTCCAAGCATTCGGAACATCGACGACTTCCCACAACCATTCGGGCCACAGACTAGGACGTTGATACCGGATCTGAGGAAAGTAATGGTGATAAAAAGCACTTTCAAATTTTCTATCTAACTTTTATCAAACGACTTCAAAAACGGAGGCTATTGAACGTATAAAACTTTGTAATTTTGTGCTTTTTTATAGGATAGGGCAAACGACCTAACGGGACGCCCATAAAGGGCAGTCATCGCAGCATCTAATTTTAGTTAGTGCGTTGCCGGCCTTTGAGAACTGTTAATTTTTTAAACAATTGTAGGACGTATTTCCCAGGGAAGGCCAAAATAATTTTGATTGTAATTTAACTGTAAAGAATTTAAGGTTTAAAAAATTAAATATATATTATGAACTAGCTGCCCCAGCGAACTTCGTTTCGCCTTTATTATTTTTTTACTTTTTTAATTATTATTTTTTTACTACCTTTCTAGTAGCTACATAACAACATATATTACTACAACATACCCCATAGTCTTTTCGCTTTTCCCAATTTTTTATTCCCTCAATAAGGACCTTCCTCAGAGTTAAAAGAATAAATACTCCAATAGGTCCAGCCGTCTTCGAGTTTTGAGCTAAGCAACATATTTTGCCTGAGCAGTGTTGGCCTAGTGGCTTCAGCGTGCGACTCTCATCCCTGATGTCGTAGGTTCGATCCCCAGCTGTGCACCAATGGACTTTCTGTCTATGTGCGCATTTAACATTCGCTCGAACGGTGAAGGAAAACATCGTGAGGAAACCGACATGTCTTAGACCCAAAAGTAGACGGCATGTGTCAGTCACTAGAGGCTAATCATCTACTTGCCTATTAGATTTAAAAATGATCATGAAACAGATTCAGAAATCTGAGGCCAAGACCTAAAAGAGGTAGTAGTGCTACTGATTTATTTTAACATATTTTGCGATACATTAATATGTACGTAGATTTAACGTGCACGTGCACTGTCGTGAAGAATCTTGAGCTTCCACAAACAAGTGAGTACAAATTCGCAAAATTGCAAAAAATATACAATTCAGGTACGAATAAACAAAATTATGTTAATATATACTAACTTTACTTCAAAGGTAAGTTCCTTAATGAGTACGTCTCCGTTGGGCGTGACCAGTGGCACCTTGTCAAAACTTATAATTTTGTCTTGGTATATAATTTTACCCGCCCCAGGTGTTAGTGCCAATGTACTCGGTCCCACTGTAAAGAGTAAAGATCCATCACAATAGAGTAGAGAATATTGGCCACGTGCAACCCTTAACACTGCGTGCGTTCGGACGTTGCACCAATGGAACTTCTAGCTTTCTCCTACGGTGAAGGAAAACCATAGTTTCGATATGCGGTTTTCTTCGTAGTACAGGGGGCACACGGGCATGAGGCTCACCTGATGTTAAGTGATACCGCCGCCCATGGACGCTCACACTGCCAGAAGGCAGAAGTGCGTTGTCCCCCTTTTACGAATTGGTCTTGATCTTGAAGGACCCTAAGTCGAATTGGTTCGGAAATACTTCAGAGGGCAGCTGGTGGTGGTGGTGGTGCGCGGCAAAAAGTGCCTTAAGAAGCGCTCAGTTATGTTGTGTTTTTAATATATTATATACACATATAACATGTGTATAATACAGTTAAAAGTTTTTATAATGTTCCACGCGGTGATAAATTTAAGAAAATTTGACTTGTTAAACACTCAAATTGAATGAAATTTTTATATCGTGTTTATTTGCTTGCTTCTATAAGGCTTCGAGAAAAGACATCACCGAGTCCCAAATAAAACCATGATTATTATTTTTGAAGTGAAACTTCTTTAGGTGCATGAGGGTAAAATTTTTACGGATGAAACGAGAAAGTGAGAGAAGTGAGAAGGGCAAATTACCTTATAGAAATTCTATTTTTAAAATTAAAATTTTGTAAAGAGAATTTATGAAATATTAGTATTTTATATTTTATGCAAAATAATTTATTGAAATTTTAAATGACAAATTGTAAATTAAAACGCCACGAGTTTTTATTATCAAAGAAATAAATTTGTATTAATTTTTGACACTTTTAGGGTCTGTTTCACAATGTACAGATAAGTTCTACATAAGTTCCAAATTATTACTTATTTGTAGGATAAACACTATTGTTGCGTTTCACGACTGTCAGATAGCGCTATTCGTCACATAAAGTCCATCAAAAGTTATGAGTCCGATGAATATCAAATAAAACAATTGATCTTCCAAATAATGTATGTGTTGCATAGCTATTTGGTACTTTATCCATACATTGTGAAACAGACCCTTAATATTTTAATGACAATTAAATTATTAAATTCCTAACATATCTTCCTTTTTCCTTCCCTCTGAGTCTCGGAAATCTAAAGTTTTAGATTGATAAATATAAACAAGACTTGAAAATTAGTTTGCCAAAGAAGTTTCACTTCTGACAAGTGTACTTTGTACGCACGCACTTTTTTTTAAATTTGATTAATAACCCTAAACCTTCCTGAATTACATTATCTCCTGGTAAATAATGTACAAATTAATTCGCTTCAATCAAGGAAAATACACTCACAGATGCCAGGTTGCCGGTCCACCATGGTCCTCTCGTAATTTCCTGTATTAATATCTTCCAAGACACTCCGTAATTGCGTGACCCTGGAAGTGAGACCGGCCAATTTGCTCAACTCACGGCCGGATAACACGAGTCGGCCGATTCCTTCGGCCATTTTGACTAACATACGCCCGTATGTGTAGTAATGCTGAAAGTTTTAAATGTTTTCATTACGAGCAGTGTTGGCCTAGTGGATTCAGCGTGCGACTCTCATCCCTGAGGTCGTAGGGTCGATCCCAAGCTGTGCATCAATGGACTTTCTTTTTATGTGCGAATTTAACATTCGCTCGAACGGTGAAGGAAAACATCGTGAGGAAACCGGCTTGCCTAAGACCTAAAAAGTCGATAGCGTGCGTCAGACACAGGAGTCTGATCACCTAATTGCCTATTAGATTAACAAATGTTCATGAAACAGATACAGAAATCTGAGGCCCAGACCTAAATAGGTTGTAACGCCACTGATTTATATTTATTTTCTTTTTTATGTTTTCATTAAAAATATAGTGTACACAATGTAGGATTATACTATATAGACTAGCTTATTATACAAGTATTTTATTAAAATATTTTGATGAAAAATATTTTAAGTGAGCTTTTCCTCAACTTTTTTTAAAACTTCACTTCGAAAAATGTAATTTACTAAACATTGTTGAATTTAAAGAGAAACATGCTTCATGTTTCAAGAACCACATATTAAAAAAGAAATAAGGTCTTTCAATATCACTTTGAATTTTTTTTGTCAAACAATTATTTAAACTTACCCTAAACCTATCTTGTTCTGTGCCAACAGTCAATAAATTGTGGTTCTTAACGAAGAACGGCCGAGACACAGCGTAAAATCCAACCACGATTGCAATATCTAAAAAAAAAACACTGTATACAAGGCAAACAAGTTCTGTCACAGACCGTTACATTGTGTTGAAGCTTTTAGATAAAGTACTCCCAGTATTTCCCAAGTTTCAAGTACATGGTCTACACATCATCAAATAAATACAAAATATTGTAAAAACTATTTTAAAAGAGTAAGTATGTAGTTTCTTGCTCAGTCTTCTCCATATGAAACTACCTTTTGGAAAGAAATGCCTTTTAAATAGGCCTAAATAAATGATTTCACTTTCGAGATTGATGTGGTTGCTAGAAACCATATCATGATCGTGCTAAGAGCGTATTAGACAAAAAATTAAAAAGTATGAGACATGTCGTTACAGATTACAATCACTCATTCACTCACATTCACCCACACAATCACTCATTCACTCACACATGTTACGCATATTAATAAGAGCTGGGAACCTTGACACAGGTACTTTTAATTTAAAAGAGTTCCCCAAATCTTACACATTATGCATTGTTTACGAGTATAATGAATAATAGAGCAGTGATGGATTAGTAGCTTCATCGTGGATGGATTCACCAATGTACTTTTTCTATTCGCATGTAATATTGGCTGGCTCAAACGGTGAAGGAAAACATCGTAAAGAAACCTTGTCTAAGGCGGCCCAAAAAGCCGACGTCGTGTGTCACACAGAAAGCTGATCACCTTGCTTATCAGATTGACAAATGATCATTAAACATATACAGATCTGAGGCCCAGTCCTAAAAAGGTTGTAGAGCCACTAAACGCGGATGATATCATCTGATACCATAATATTGGGTATAGTCCGTGATGTGTTTGTCTGTCTGATACGTTCATAGCACTCTCATGGTATACACTCAAATTTAGTTTTTACTGTTTACTTGTGTTTAATTTTGTCTATGCTAGTTTGAAATTTTTATATTCTAATATATAATTTTTTATACAGAACTGGACAGACGTTTTCCCACAACTGATGTTAAGTGAGATGTGGCCTATTGGAGGACGCGCCTGTCCAGAAGAAGCCTGTTTAAACGCCGCTTAAACGAATTCATATTATACTGTCTAGGGGAAATGGAAATGCACAAGAAGGTCCACTCTTTTGCCATTTTTATAATAAACGACAAACCAAATCGTGCAGTGTGGCACCTGGGGATGTCGACAAGGAAGAAAAGGAATCATATTGTGTAGTACCATGAAGGATTCTCCGGAGTGCAATCTATGGTCACGGCGATGGTCAAGAATTGAGGTTCAAGAGAGAATTGTCGACAATTAATGTGTATGTGTGTAAAACTTGTGACATACTTTCTTGTATCAGGAAACATGTTTTAGGACTTCTAAATAAATAATAACTTTGACGGCTCATTGGTCTAGTGGTTAGTACCCCTGACTGCGAATCCATGGGTCCCGGGTTCGGTCCCGGCTGAGACAAACATCGATGTGATGAGCATTTGGTGTTGTGCTTAGGTCTTGGGTGTTTAAATATGTAATTATATGTATTAGGTCTAACTATGTATAATATGTATATCCGTTGCCTAATACCCATAACACAAGCTTCACCAGCTTAGCATGGGACTAGGTGAATTGGTGTGAATTGTCCAATCATAAAAAAAAAATAACTGTCTTACATTTAGCAACAATGTTGTCTATGAATCCCATCGCGACCCGGAAGTTGAGGAAATTCCTCAAATGCCTCGTCAACTTGTAGAAACTTGATAACAGCGTCAGTTGCTCGCGACGGTTACCCTGTAATTTATTCAAATTCATCAAAATTGGTCGCGCCTAAATACTGTGCACGTACTGTGTGCACGCACTTTATAACACGTATTAATTAAATCTAGTTTCTGGAAAACCATTAATACAAGACAAGCGGACCTGAACAACGTTGTCCTGTCTTAACTATGAATTTCGAATTGGTTTAATTACTAAAAAAATATTTTAGAAAAAAAGTGTTATTCTAATGCTTTATGATATACAACATTCTTTGTTTGTTTTTCTGGTGAATAGTTTTGTTGCTATTCCTACACGGGAACATATGTATTTTATCAATATAATAACTCCGATCGAAGCATTTGCTTTAAACGATATTTATTTTTCTTACATCCTCTTTGACTATACTCGCATTCTGTCAATGTTATGTCAAATGCCATAAGGTTACATCAAAAAAGTTTGAATTGTTAAAGCGCTATGCACTGAATACTGAATATAGTGGTTCAGTATTCTTAAATTTTCCGCCCAATTTTCTTAATTTTTTCTTTCTCCTGACAATAACAAACACAACAAAAAAAGAATTAGCTAAATCGGTCCTGCCGTTCACGCGTGATGCCGTGATCAAAGGAAATAGGGATTCATTGTTATATATATATATATATATATATATATATAGATTTCTAGCTTAAAGTCGGGCTTAGGGTCCATTTATTTTAATATTATTTCACCGAGAATCCTTCCCAAGTACATCTTCTGAACCACGAAGCCCGGATTTATATTACCTGGTAAAATGCGACCTCTTCAGAATTGGTGATGAGCCTTGAATTGACATATCTGTATTCACCTTCCAGTTTTTGCTCTTGCACCGTCATGCGAGCTGAAATTTCAATTATTTTACTATTAAAAAAAACAACATTACATAAATCATTCTCTACATTAGGTATTGAACGAAAATCTATAGACTGGCAATTTATAGAGATAGATATTATAGCCGTATACTATCTCTCCACCTCATATACGCCTAGTGTACCTAATTTAAGACTCTATCGCGAGGTAGATTTTTCACTAAGCACTGTTGGTTTAAGGGTGTGACTCCGACCCTAAGGTCATGTGATTGAATCACGACTTGTACAAAATAGTCGTATACTATCTCTCTACTCCATATACGACTATGTGTCTTTTAAGACGTTATCACGAGGTCAGAACCTCCATTAAGCAGTTTTGGTTTAAGGGTGTGACTTCAACACTAATTGTGATTGAATCACGCAGCAATGGACTTTTCTGTTTGTGTGTGTGTTAAAAGAAAAGATGAGGAAACGCGTTGTTAAAAAGTATGATGGCGTGTGTCAGGCACTTGCTAACTTTAATATTATTATTATTTACTACTTATTTTTTTTTTTGCTACTGAGGCGCAAACTAGCTGCTGTGGTCTCTGGCAGAATGGCCAGCGCTGTGGAACATTCTGCTCCTCAGCATAATGCTGAGCCAGGGCCAATTACAACCACAGCACACACACATTGCACACTTGAAGCGAACCGAATGGGAAATTATTTTTTTATTTTTATTGTTTTTGATATGTCTTATTTTATTTTTTCTTTGAGTATTGTTATTTTGTGTGTTTATGTGTGTAATAAATGTTATGTCTATGTCTACTTGTCACATCAAGAAACTGATACAGGATATTAAGTCAAAGACCACGCGTTAGACGGCAACTGTTTTGTATGGTCTTCATAACATAACATATTCGAGAAAGTGTTTGTGATGTGCATGATAGTATATATATTAATTACACAGGTCTACGGAAGTTAAGTTTTTCGAAATTGTATTAAAAAATAGTTATTATTTCTTATAAATGTATTAAAAGTAATAAAAAACCATAGTTATATATACCACGTCGAATATAGAAGATTCAGCTTTTTGATATGCATGAAGAAGCAAATATTTGATAAATCTTTGTATATTTTTTATTACTTGTGATCACAGTCACAGAAAAAAATATACTTATACTATAGAATGATCAGCTACAGAGTATAGGATAAAGAATAAAGATTATAAAACAAAAAAATGGAATTACTGTTAATAAAAATAAATTAGCTAAATTAAATATATTTGTTCAACTGAAGTGCAAAAAGTACCACGTGATACAATAAAATAAAGTTTATATTTGCAACATTAACATCAACGCGTTTGTCCTGCAATTTAAAAAAACTTTATCATCGCAGACTTGTATTTAAACAAATATCTTTTAGCTAAAGCTTACTAAAGTTTTTAAGGAGATTGCCTTCTAATGTCTAAACGCATACTTATCCAATAGTCGCTGTTTTCCTGATGATTTATTTCTTCTGCTTTACCAAAAATTTCTGGTAACTTTACTCCATGCTTATTTTATCTTGTATATATTTTAATTGTATTTTTTATTTTTTTGTACCACTTATGTTTACTTCAATTGTAATACATTTTAGATGGAAGATTTTGTAAAATATGCCATAGATTTAGTACTATGTATGATGTGGTAAACTTTAATAAATAAATAAATAGGTACTTTGACAACTAGAGGTACAAGCGTATGGGTCCGTTTCCAGGTTCTGACCTGACCAAATCTAAACACAACTTTTCGTCTGCTCCAGGCATCCTCTTAGCGAAATATGCAGTAATCAATAAATACTTAGATAGGATTAAAAAAATTTCATTGGATAATTTAGTTATAACAAAATTGAGCCTTTAATTAACTATAGACAAATTATGCACGGATTAATATCGTAACTAAATTAATGACATGAAAAAAAAACAAATGAATAAAAAGCAGTTTAAATTATTATATTAATTTACCTGTCGGCCTTCGTAGGTAGGTTAAAAACACACCAGAAGCCAATAAATACGCCATCATTAAACCCGGTGTCTGAAAAAAGAAATATTAATTAACTAACTTCTTATAAATTAGTGTGTCATTCCAGGTCTAGGACTTAGCGCTAAGTAATCGAAAATGTTAAAAACGCATTGGATTTGACATACGGGAGTCAGACTTAGCACACACAAAACTCATAATAAGTCAGGTTTCTGAAACTCAGGTTGCGTTTCAGAAACCTGACTTATTATGACCTATTCTGATTCATATATGTCAAAATCCATACATTTTACGTGCGAAAGTCTTGGCTCTAAGTCTCATTTCTTAATCCCTAACAAATACTTCTTCTGCTGGATTTTTACTTTAATAAATATATCGTAAGATATACATGTATATGAAAAATAAGGGGACACAATCTGTAGTTTTTGTAAAGCTACAATATCGCGGCCATAGATGACGTTTTCATGACCTGTCAACATCTCAACAGACTATTATAATAATATAAAATCTGTCAACTTGAAAGTCCCATTGTAGTGAAGCACTCGAAACTTCGACTTATGTAAATAATGTTATAAATTCGCGGTTATATAAAGATTTATTAGAAACATTTTATTGATAATAAAAAGATAACAATTACAATTGTTACTTTAGAAATATAGCCAAAATAGATTATACCGAACATTATGTACTTACTAACACAGACAATGATCTATAATTTGCTTGTTGTTGTGTGTGTGGGAATGTGTGAGGGTGTGTAAGAGTATGAGTGTGAGTTTTTGGGTGATCTTAAAAATCCATTAGATTTTTTTATTTCCTTCTAAAATACGCGTTTGGAGATAATATGCAATAATTCGCGTACTCTATTATATAGATTTATAGTAGGGGAGGGCGGGGCTGGTACTAACAAATTCTGTATTATGATTTATATTTTCGTTGATAATAGACTTTTTCGTTTCATTTTTTATTGAAAACATGCTTTGGTTATTCAGCTATGATATTAATAACAAAAATCATCAGGTATGTAAGTGCTTCCAGAAAGAGAGCCATGAAAACCAAAAAAGTCATTTGTTAATATATACCCCGCATGTGGGGCGAATATTAACGAAGCTGGGGTAAGTATTAACGTAAGGTGCAATTAATAACAGATACTTGAATTATATCAAATACTCAAATAAAATGTCACTGAAATTAATGAAAAAGTTTTATTGCCTTCAATGTTAAACAAATTAGTACTTTTTATGATAGGAACTGAAAGAATATAACAAATTCTTTTAAATCTACACTTAATAATAATCATTGCTACAGTTTGAATAGTTTTAAGCCTAAAAAAAATTAAACACATAGTTTAAACTTAATCTTTTAAAGTTACTTACTTAAACTTAAACTTTTTAGGTTCAACAGTTTTTAAGTTTCTTAATGGAGTAGAAAAAATAGTATTATCTTATAAATCTGTTACGAACATTTTTTTAAATAGTTTAAACATAATAATTAAATAAAAGTCACATAAACATTTTAGTATCAGTCTTAAAAAACCTCTATGAGTTACCTTAAGCAATACAGTATTTTAAATCTACTTGATATTCATCAACAAATGTCACAGTGTTAATACTTTTTAGTATGAGACAGTCTTTAGGTATATTAATAAGGTAACTAGTTAAATCAGTCTTAATCTAATTTGTACTTAAACTTAGACAGGAAATAAGTACTTCAAATCAGGCAATAATTAATCAGAATACGATTTCTCTTCATCTGAGAAACAGTTGAGGCATATGTATTTTCTGGTATCACCTCTAATACAGGTGATATGAGCCCATCCTTTGCATAAAATACATTGTATCCAGTCAAGTCCAGATGTGTCTTCATTATAAGTCTCGGCACAAACCAAACAAAAGCAGGTATCTTCTTCACTAACGTCCTGCAGAATATGCTTCTTAACCTTTTCTACTTCTTCTCTCCGGGTTCCTTTACTTTTCCCTTTGCCTTTACCCTTATTTTTAGTTTCAGTCAGACTAAGGCCAATTTTTCGGGAGTATCAGTGAGAATCGTTGATTTCCTTGAACGCTTTCGTTTGGATTCGACACGTGGAGGTGCTTTTGGAAGCGGTCTTATTGTTTCTACGTTAAAACATTCTGTTGGCTTTGTATTTGATGGTCCTGGTTCATGAGATGGTCGCTGTTTATTTGATGGTACGTGTGATAGTTTATCAATAACCTCTGAAATACTTATGTCAATATCAGGCATGCTATGTAAAATTTCATTTTGGATTGAAGAGTCTAAATGTAGTGATACTTCTTCTGGGTTGACAGAAATATCTCCAGGCTGAAGTGATCCCTGGTTGCCCATCGAAGCAGTATTTGGATCGGGACGATCAGTAACAAGTTTAAATAGCGTTACGTGACAAATATCGTATTCAGTAGCAACATCTCTATTTTTACCAGAACTTCTTCAGCTGCCAGCTCAAATACTTTTTGAGACGAAGACCCCCTTGTACTCTTCCTTTTGTAATTTCTCATTCTATAAAAAAACGTACTTTTTGCAAAAAACAGTCGTTTAATAACACATGTTAATACTGACCCCACCCAATTTGTTAATTTTAGCCCCAAGGTCACTTTTTATATTTTATCAATTATAGAAAATAAACTAATCAAAATAATTAGAAACAAGTATAATAGTTTTAAAATCAATAAAATACAATTCCATTTAGGATTAACTTTGATTAAATTTAGCGTAAAAATAAATCTTAAATCAATTTATTACGAAGTACAAAAAGTTTGTTTACCTGTCAATTCAAAGTTATTACGCACAACTATCACTAGCGACGGCCGATCGATAACTGACAAGTTAGGACACGTTCGGCCGTGTATTCTAGTTATTCTAAACCGAGCCTCATTTTTTTATCACTTCACGTTTGGCGGGTATAAGCTTGTTAATTCTTACCTCCGTTAAAACCAGCCCCGCCCTCCCCTACGTAAAATTTGTATTTGTTATCCTTATTAGTAAAAAATGTTAGACTTAAATTACTTATTAGTCTTATGTTAGGCTAGATCGTAATGTACCATGATGTCTAAGTAAAGACACTTGTATAAAAACATTATTATAAAAATATGAAACAGGTCGGTATGACGAGTTCTTTCGGTACATTTAAGTTTAATATTTTAAGCGATTTGGGACAGTCAATATGATTGTTCCATAAAGTATGTAGAAACATTTAAGTCTGCTCTCTACAATTTCCCCGTACTAGACTATCTAAAGTTAATAATTCTTTTTTTGGCAATGGGATACTCTTCTTTAATAAAATCCCAGAGGCTTTTTTATCTCTGCCTTTTAATAAATTTAAGATATGTATTAAAGAAAAGCTGTGTAAAAAGGCTTACTATAAAGTTAACGATTATCTAGTTGATAAAAGGGCCTGGGACTAGTGCTAGACAGGCTACTTCTAATTAATTTGCGATATTTGTTTTAAAATAAGTGTTGTTTGATGATTTGCTATTTTAAAAGAGTACCGAGAGCTTTTTACGCCGGCTTTTTCTCTCAGCCTAGACCCTCTGTCTTCTTTGCCGATGAGTAGAGATGTCTACCGATTTTTTATTTCTCTTAACTTAAACATTAAATATTTTCTTTAACTTACCGAAGGCCCCAAATTCACTGTTAACCTATACAGATAAATAGATATATCCAATAGGGGCTTACTAATATAACTGTATAGGTCTATTACAGTGTCACAGAACTTCTCAATATCAGTGGTGAGAAGCTGATCAGCGTTCGATATTCTGTTATCCAAGTTTGTTACTCTGTAGTATGTGAAGCCTCTGAAAAAGAAAATTTATAATTATAAGGAGCCCATAGTTGGTTTGTTCTTTTTGGTGGTAGGCTTCAGCGTGCGACTCTCATCCCTGAGATCGGAGGTTGGATCCCCTGCTATGAACCAATGGACTATCTTTCTATGTGCGCATTTAACATTCGCTCGAGCGGTGAAGGAAAACATCGTGAGGAAACCGACATGTCTTAGACCCAAAAAGTCGACGGCGTGTGTCAGGCACAGGAGGCAGATAACCTACTTGCCAATTAGATTGAAGATAATGATCATGAAACAGGTTCAGAAATCTGAGGCCTAAGGAGGTTGTACCGGAAAATTTTTTTTGGCTAGTACTAAATAACAATCAAGTGTTGTTACACCTATTTAGGTCTTGGCGAATGTTGAAACCTATTTTTATAGACAAGTAGACGATCAGCTATCTGGACCTGATACAAGTCGTTTTTGGGCATAAGATACCGGTTTCCTCACGATGTTTACAACAACGTGCTTGAATACGGAGAGAGCAATCGTCAATCTACTTCGCACTGGATTTTTTTACGGGTAGAACAGACCGCATGGGCCTGGTTACGGAATGGCTTAGACTGTATGTCCCTGAAAAGTATTTCAGATCCCAGATCTCTAATCTGACAGCAGGTCGGCATGCCATGTTGTCTAAGTAGAGCTCACTAACTGTCCTTCGCCTTACCGACGTTTCGCGTGCTTTACAGCGTGCGTGGTCACGGTGACACGGTCGGTAAAATTTAAAATTATGTAAAATAATTGTAAATTTATAATTATGTGTAAAGGTTATGTCAAAAAAAGACAGTACTAAGGCTATATATGATGAGCGAATATAAGGTTTTCTAATGAATAAGAGCGGAGAATACATAAGTCAAGTGACCTCTTTCTAAATTTCAACAGGGATCAACCACCAGCCCAAACCGTAACATAAAAGAAGTTTTTGTTAACTGGACAATCGAGTCCAATAAAAAATAAGTATGGGATCCGATAGACGGCGTGATAAATAAAAAAAACAAGTCAATGCACCATGATTTATAAATCTTGAAAGTAAAATGCAAATATTTCCAGTTCAAATAGGTTACGATGAATATAAATGAATCTTGTATATTAATTATGTACATTAATTGTAGATGACACCGCAGCTGTATTTGTGTTTTTTAATGACAAATATGCTTGAAATAAACAATTTAGACACAAATTGACAAATATTATGTTTTATATTTGAATTAGACTCATACACATAACACAGTGTTGAATAGTTCTAAGCAAGTGACAAAAATCAATTATGTGTATATTTTATCATACATTATATTAGTCCAATGACAATGTAACGCAATGTCTCATTCTCACGACTTAGTCCACAGATTAGGGTAAGCACGCACTCGTTAACACGCAAAAGTTTCTCATCGAAGGGAAACCTCCTTTGACTCTCTGTCTATTATATAATAAAGCTACTTAATAAGTTCTACACAAGTTTTATTAAGAAACAAATTCAAATTTCTCCACGTGGACAATTACGCCGATAACTGAGAAAATAAAGTTATTGCGTGATTGTTTCAATGTAATGTCCCAAGAGATACAAAGTAGGCTCATTAAGCAACTAGAATAATAAAACTATACATACTTAATAAATGTTTTGAGTTATAAAAGACTTACTTTTAAAAAAATATAATGAGTTTAGTGTATTATAATTTTTTTTAAATATATAACAGGGAAAAAGTTAAGTGATATAGCCTACCCATGTATGTACACTCACAGTGTCAACGCTAGTGTGTTGCCGGCCATTTAGGAATTGGTACGCTCTTTATCTCATTATTATTATTATGACATACGGAAGTAACCTAGTACTTTTTTTGTTTATATGACAGGGAGCAAACGTCTCATCTGATGTTGTTGTTGACACATTGCCAGGTAGCTCGAAAGTGCGTTGTCGGCCTTTAAAATGTAACGTTTGACTGTTTAATTGATTATGCTATTTTTAAATAAGTAATTATTTTATTATACAACGTCATTATATTGAATACGTTAATCTTGAAAAAAATAAATGAAACATTTTTTTTTGTTGCTTGTTTAATCAATTTTCTTTTTATCTTTGTACTAGAATTCATATCTTTGACATTCAATTCACGCATGCAGAGTTGAGCGCGCATATTCTGGACGACTAGATATTTTAGAGGCGCTCGTGTCTGCTAGGAAAATGGAAATTGCTCTGCTTTTCACCGTTTTTTTTACTGAGGAGCATAATTCCAAGATCAACTGAATCCAACTGAAACCATTTTGACGTAATTCATACAATTTCCGTCAAATATTCTAGCACTATTTTTTCATAAGAAAAACGTGCGAGCAGTAAAATTTTAATTTTATTTCCTAATATAATTTCTTCAAAGGATTTGTGATGCACAATGCACATATCAGCGTGTGTTATCCAATCGCAAGGTCAATTGACCAATGAAAAACAAACGAAATTCGCCAACGTTTACATAAAAAGTACTGTAATGATTATCATGCCGGGATTTATCAACTACTAGCGACCCGCCCCTGCTTCGCACGGGTGCCATCAGCCATGCTGATACTAAATACACTACAGAAAAACTGTGAACGTTTTCAAAGAAAAATGTTGAAAAAATGTTATTGGTTATCCATATACCATCGCGGATTTTTATGTAGATATTTTCAATGTGTACAATACTTAGTACATTATTTTGATAAATCTCTTAGGGTTCGCAATGTAAGCGGAAAAAATTTAATTATTTACGACATCACATTAGAAACCTCCACTATTTAATGGATGCTATTATACATATAAACCTTCCTCTTCAATCACTATATTTATTTAAAAAACCGCATCATAATCCGTGACGTAGTTTTAAAGATTTAAGCATACATAGGGACAGAGAAAGCGACTTTTTTACACGCTTTATATAAGCTTCACCTGTATGTATGTATGTAACCGACTCCTTCGGACTCGATTTTGACCCACTTTAAACGGACAGATTTAATTCAAACTTTGTACACTTATAAAGAATCAGCGACAATATAATAATTTCATAGGTTTATCTCGAAAAAATGAATGAAATTTTTTTTAAGTCCACAAAGCAATACGATTAAATAGAGACAACACGTATTGCTGCTAGGACTAAAAAGTGGAAAATAAATATAGTTTAAAAAAACTATAAAACACGGTTTTAAAGCACATCAAACTAAAAAGTGAAAAATAATTCCTAATTTAGGCTGAAAACGGTAATGAACAAAAAATACTGGTATTATTGTGAAAAAGCGTGGGGCGCTCAGCGCTCTGTGCCATATTTTTCGTCTATCGAGCAACCCACGCTTTGTGTTTTATAGTTTTTTTAAACTATATTTATTTATACTATGTAGTGATAGCAAAAACATTTTTTTAATAATTTGTCCACTGAGACATTACTGAACAATACGTAAACCGTAACTTTAGACTAATAAGTATATTTTATGAAAGTATTTTATAAAATATACATATTTTGATGATATAAGTATTGTATATAATAAAAAACAAAAAAAATGAATCGAAAAATTATCAAATGATATCTACCGATTATAAGATAAATATGATAAAACCATTTAGACCTACACAATTACATAAATTACGTCTTTGTGATGATAGTGTTTTGTCTCGTTTACTTAGATGCAAAGTTATATGAGAGTGATTGGGGCAAAATATATTAAGGCTTCAATATTAACAATATATCTCAACTGATTAACAAGATCCAGGAAAACTATAATCTTTTGACCTCAACTTGATACTCTTTGTTTAAAAAATAAATCAGTGGCGCTACAACCTTTTTAGGTCTGGGTCTCAGATTTCTGTATCGGTTTCAAGACAATTTGTCAATCTAATAAGCAAGTAGGTGATCAGCCACCTGTGCCTGACGCACGCCGTCGACTTTTTGGGTCTAAGGCAAGCCGGTTTCCTCACGATGTTTTCCTTCGTCCATTGGTGCACAGACGGAGCGAATCTACGACCTCAGGGATGAGAGGGTTCATATACGAGTAACATTATTATATTCTAAGCCCAATATGTATTTTTTGGCTAAAAGATGTCTTTCGTGTCTTTCGTGTCGTCATGCAAGCCATTACGCACATGAACAGAAAAATTTAGGAAATTTCAAACTCAAACTATCTTTATTCATATAGATAAACAAGTGCACTTATGAACGTCAAATGTAAATTTACATTTGCTACCAGTTCGCAAGTCAAGGGCGTAGAGCAGGTTTTGAAGTGATTTAGATTTTTTAAGTTCACACGCATTTATAAATAATAAAAATGTTGTTTTTATAACAAGGATGATGAATATGATTGTTATCAATTAAACTTCATAGCGAAAAATCGAATTGATAGAATTATATAGTATTTTATATGACCGTGTAGGCTATAAACTCTATTATTAAATTAATATAATAATAATAAAAATATTACATAAAGCTAGTGTTGGTACGATATCTATTATTTCAAAGATATTTTTAAATTACTAACATACAAATATATATAAATATAAATAATAAATATATATTTATATGTACGATAATAACATTATTATAAATATTTCCTCTATTTATAAAAATAATTCACCTATTCCACCAATTCCCCTAAATGTTACAAAGTACCACAGATGAATACCAAGAAAATGCTTTAAAAAAAAGTGGCGGAGAGTTTATTGCCAGTTCTTCTCGTCCGTTCTACGCCCTTGATTTGAGAACTGGCAGTAAATGTAAAGAAGCATTAAATATTTATTTCTCGGTTGTATACTTCGGTATACATTGTGTTACCTAAATGAATCAATGATTTTAAATTTGGAAAACCTAAGATAGACCTTATAGGTGACATTCAGAAACTTATAGCGGTAAGTATTACTTTCGTATGTAATAACATATTGGCGATTGACATACGGAAGACGTATTACACAGTCTCGTTTCTAAATCTCACTAGCAAAGCGTATCTGCAAAAACTACGGGTTGCATTCCGGAAGTTCCGGCAGAAGTAAAAACTTGAATATTAACGTTGTGCATTTTTGATATTTTGGAATGGTTAAGAAATAATTTTGCACGAATTGCTTTAATTATCAGCATAAAAGTACTATCACTTATGTGGTAGAAAACAATATTTATTTATTGCGCTATCGTACACAAACATGACAATTTATATTACATTAAATACGCCGCGCCAGCTGTCTACTCTCCATCCGTCTTACGAATTTTCGATCAGGTCACGTGTCCTGACGCGAGTTTAACATATTTTACCCATTCCAAAAAAATTATACAACGCCGCTAAAGAAGTTTTCACTTCAAAAATTCATACAAACCTTGACTTGGTTCATACCTGCCCTGAATTAAAAAATAATTACTCACTTTAAGTATTGCTCGTAGAGATGCAGCGAAAGATTTGTCCTTATTCTAAGTTTTACTTCTCCTATACTCCATTTTAGTACATTATTTACTAGTGAAATCTGAAAATAACAAACGTAAGGTAACTTGTAAGCGATGGTTGTAGGCGAACTTAAAATAAGCAGTAGCACAGCCTACAATTACGCAATATATAGGGGAATAAAATATAAAGAATTATAAAAAACTTTACGGAACTTAGACGTTTCAATAGAACGAAATCAAAAAAATGTTTCAACTTATATAACAATTCTAAAGTTCTTGTTTATATCTGTGTATTTAAAACAGAAGAAAAAGAGGTAGGCAAACGAAAAGATGGGAAGACGACTTCAACAAAATAGCTGGTCCGGTATGGACTCGTTTAGCAAAAGATAGGATACGTGGAAATCTTTAGAGGAGGCCTTTGTCGACAGACAAGCTGTTCCAGACAAACATCCAGTTGCCGAACATACAATGATTAAACCAATTTAATTTAGTAAGTACTTCGAAAGTAATTTAAATTTAATTTAGTAGATATTTAGAAAGTAATTATGTTAGGCATGTATTAATTAATGAGTATTATTGTAAGATAGAAACAGCAATAAAGGCTATTTTATTTTTATTTATTTATTATTTAAAATTTTACGGCGAAACGGTTTGCCTTGGCTCACTTAAAAACTACATAACCATGTGAATTCTGAGGCAATTCAACTTCTAGACACAACAGGAACAAGACGCCTAAAGAGAACTAAACTTTTGAGTTAATAAATATAGTGCCGTGAATATAAATCGGACACACAAACATAGTGTCAAAACAGAACACTAAGATTGTTAATGAACATTACTTTAGTTTAAGCTATTCACTAGTATTGTAGAAAATTAAGTCAACATAATATTACTTATAATCCATAATTATTGTACAGGCTAGATTGTAATTCATGAAGTCGTAGTCTCTTTTGTGAACTTTATTATAGGAAAAATATCTGTTTATTTCAATATATTAAATATATAATTAATAATTATTTAAGAGTTTAAACAATCTATCGGCTAACTAACTTGGTGATTGTAATTGACAATTAAAGTTAGTAAACTTATTTGAAATTGCTTTACTTTTAAATGACAAAGATCTTAAGATATATCGATACCAGACTATGTATATTGTATGTCAAATCCAATACACTTAGTAATCAATCCTCGAAACTAAATTATATCCAGGAAAGGGCTGAACTCTGCCATGACATTGCAACGCCCATGACCCTGCGGTAGCAATTGTCTTAAAAATATTAATGAAAGATCTGCCCCCTGCTCCATACAGTCAAAATCTGTTATAACGACATCGAAGGGACTACTCATATTTGGTCGTAAAAACCGATAGTCAGCCGATGACATTGTTATTAAGTACCTAATACAATAGAATTCAGCCGGGACCTTTGATTTTGGTCAATATAACCGGTATGTTGTTGTAAACGATGTCGTCGTAAACGGTTTTGACTGTATATTAATCGTCACACATACTCTCTCACATACAATCACGCCCACACATAGATCCATACGTCCCCACAGACACACAAATATAAAATAAATACTAAATAAAAAAAATAGGTTTTAAAATATACGTGCTTATAAATTAGACACATACACATTTAGAACAGAGAAATTACAAACAAGAACAAAAACACAAAAGCAAGAAACAAATATAGGCGATGTATAAAATAACGCAAATTTAAACAAAAACTAACTACAATGCGAAATCACTCACCAAAGGCATAGCCACGAAGAACTGTGTTAGTAGTTTCTTAAATTCTAATTTGTTCATTGTGATGATTGATCTGAAACAAGAATACATAATTTTTTTAGCAATTAATATAGAAGGATTACATAACGTCACCGTAGTAGCATAACCTCGTATGTCGAAAAACCATTTATTTTTTATTCTTAGACTCTTATGTCATTTAACTGGTATAATGTTAAATTTAACTGGTATTTATGTTATTAATAAATAAGTCCTTTTTACCATCTAAAACTATGGACAAAAACACAATAATATTAACGAACATTGTCGAAATGAAGCATTTTTTTCGTTTCCTATAAGGTTTAGTTCTCTTTCGTTATCATTCCACAGCGACGATAAATAACCCTACAACCCTATGGGTCTCAGATTGCATTCTATTCTCTGATCATTTTCAATTCATGAACAAGTGATAGTGACTTCTGTCTGACACGTTGATTTTTTTCATATGAGAAATGTTTCCCTTCACCATTTAATGTACCTATATTTTCCATCAGTGCATTACGTACGTGCATTACGTAATATACGAGGCAAGCGCTGAAGCCACTAGGCCAACACTGCTCTGTAAATTACATATAAAGGTATCGCTCGCGCTTTAATATTCAGACATCATTATGACCGGGTTTCCAGAAAACCCCTTCTTTATCCCCCTAGGGACGCATAAAGTCAAAATCATTTATTCATATAGCTAACACAATGTACTCTTATGAAAGTCAATAAAGAAATACATATTAAAAGCTATGCTTCTAATTTACTGCCGTTCTCAAATCAAGGGCGTAGACGAGAAGAACTGGCAATAAAGTCTCCAGCACTCTTTTTAATCGCCATGTTTTTTTTACACAATGTTTGTAAGAAGCACCATTACACCATGTTCCACATGACATCTTAAGTAATAAACTCCAAACTAAAAACTAAAAAGAATGACTCCTGTATGCCAAAAAAAGGCCGGCAACGCAACCACTAAAATGGGTGTCTATGGGCAGCGAAGACTGCCCTTTTTGGTCGTCCCGCAAGCTCGTTTGCGTTAAAAAAAAAACATTTTGACGTACGCGATCACTATGACTGAACGTTACCGCACATGAATTTGATATAACCAAACCAGAATATTATCTAGCATATCATTATTAATTAAATTACTTATTTCTAGACAATGTGTGCCAAAGTATGACCGAAATGACGCCAATACTCGAACAAAAACCCTCATAATTCGATAGCTACGGTCCGACAACTTGAATCAGCTAAATACGGGAAAATTTAAAATATATTTTTTTGTCATGTAGATACTTTGTTAATATTCGTGAACTAAGCTGTAACTAATTTGTCTGCATTAGCCAAGTCTCTTTTTCATATACCAATGGCGCTACAACCTTTTTAGGTCTGGCCGCAGATATCTGTATCTGTTCCGTGATCATTTTAATTTTTAATAGGCAAGTAGGTGATCAACCTTTTGTGCCGAAGGACCCTCGTAGCCATTGCTGTATGTTTAATTTTTTATTTGTTTTGTTTTTTATCATTTCTTTTCTTCTTTTAAATCACATATTTGGGAGCGTTCAAGTATTACGTAACGAATTCTGGGAGGGGCGTGTCCTTTTGTAAAACGTTACGATGCGGGGCGGGTATTGAATTACGCGTTATTGATAATATTATTTTCAACTCTCCAGTACTTCACACCACATAATAGTAACTTTTAGGTATAAAGAGTCACTGGGTGGTCACGAAACGTTTTACTAGTGGGTACAGAAAAACGTTACGGCGCGTTACGGCGCGTTGTAATGCTTGGCAAAAAAAAAAATATTTTTATTTTATTTCATTGTTATGCTTGAACAGATAAACTTTATCTGCCTATTGTGCATGGCACCAACAATAGGTCTCTTTTATATCACAACAACTTTTAGATATATTATAATGGTTAGATATATGTTTCAATATAACGCCTACGCATACAGCGTTACTACCTTTTGCTGTAAGAAAGGTCAGATGAATTGTAAAATTGTATGGAATTTATACTCTAATGTCTTTTTTTCCTTTTCAGGTGGCTCATCTGATGTTAAGTGAAACCCCCGCCCATAGACACTCAATGCCAGAGGGCTCGCGAGTGCCGGCCCTTAAAGAAATAGTGCGCTCTATTATTGAAGTCGATCTGGTTCGGAAATAAATGTAATAAAATGAAATATTCACAACAAGTCTTATAATTCTTGGATTAGATCAACCGGTTTCGGCGGTACGAAATGTTTTACTGTTGGTTTTTATACTATTGTGGTTAATAGGCACGGAATAACGAGATTTTTTTAAGGCTATTTGAGGGTCCAGAGGTTACATATATTTCGGATCTTGTTTATTATGACGCATTTACTCAAAGTTGATAAAGAGTATAGCAAAACGTTTCGTAGTATACGAATTAAAATTATTAAATAAATGGAGAAAGAATACAGGTTTTACTATATCATGTTTGCATGTAAAATTGTATTTATATTTTTATGTTTATACGTAACTCCGCTAAATATTAGTTGCTCTATAACTATTACGTAAAACCCTGAAGAGAAAAATTTAATAAGAACACAATATACGTTTTGGTAAAGGTCCCTATGATCGTACTTTACAAAAAATCTTTACTGTACCCATTGAAACAACAATATTTACTAACTCTTAAATAAAGTAAAAACGTACAAAAATTTACACATACATACATTTATCTAACTAGAGAAGTATAAAATCGAAAGTAAACCGGTTAGAGGTACCACGAGTGCGTATTCGTATGATCGCTGATTTCTGAAGTTCAAACTCGCGAATTTAATGGTTTGTTTGGAATTGGAATTGCGGTGGAAAGGTTTATTGCCAGTTCTTCTTACCTTCTGGGGGGTAATGTTGTTCGCGTCCGTGAGAACTACCTAGCCACTACCTCACACGTGCCCCCTGGGTGGTGCCAAAAGAACAACAACGCCGAGTCTCGGGCGGCGGTCAAATATCCTGACCAAATGGGCCTAATCAGTTCATCCGAGTTGGAAGGAGGAAATGCCTTTTAACACCCGTTACCTTGTGGACTTGTACCACGAGGCCGGGGTCCTTGACTTCATTGTCCGGGACCAGAGGAAGAAAGCCTCAATAATAAATCACCCCTAATCTCAAGGTGTGGATCGCGCCGAAGGGATGAATGGCTGGGGGGCAGCTCAGCTACTAGCGCCAACCATGATGGACATGGCAAACATCATGAGTATCGCCTTCAGGTGAGAATGGGCGTCACCTCGCCTGCGACCTTTTAGATCGACCCTTCTCGTGGGAAAAATATGAGTGACCAATTAAATTAAATAAACAATAAATCTTCAACTTCTTCGGAAGAACAATCCACTGGTGTGGGAAACCAGGCTCCAGTGTTAGAGAATACCACTGGCCGAAAAGTACTTGTACAACAAGCATTCCATCCTAGCTTATTTCTGCAAAGACCTAGATCTGCATCAATTGGAAGCTGTCCAACACAATCAAGTGTCGAAGAAATGAAACCAACAGATGTACCCCTGGCACCTGCAGATTCACCACATCCTCCACCATGGCAGAAAGTGCCTAGTAATAGGAATAAAAAACGAAAGTTATCTACCAGCCCTCCTGTAGATACGACCAAAATATCAAATCGCTATGACGGTCTGCCCATTGATTTAACTGATGAAACAGATAAACCAATTAAAGAAAGCAAACCACCTCCAATCATTCTCTATGGAATTGAAGACCTAAAAGAACTAACTAATCTCTTAGAAACAGCAGTCAACAAAGATCAATTTACATACAAGATTATAAATAAAACTCAACTTAGGATTAGTACTGCAGATATTGATGCATACAAAATACTTATCTCCCTGGTTAGGGAAAAAGGCTTGATAGGGCACACTTTCAACAGAAAGGACAATAGATGTTTCCGGATTGTAATAAAAAACCTCCATCCGACGACACCAGTAGATATTATTAAAGAAGACATAGAGGCAACAGGAAACATAGTCACTGGAGAGATAATAAATGCAAGGTACGGGCCAAACAAGAATCCAACATCTACATTCTTTGTTAATCTAGTTAGTGGTCCCCACAATAAGGCTATTAAAGACCTAAAATATATCTACCACCAAAGCGTCACCATAGAAGAACCAAAAAAAAGAAAACACTAGTTCAATGCCAGAGATGCCAACAGTATGGTCATACCAAGAACTATTGTATGAGACCATACAGGTGTGTGAAATGTGGGCAATCACACAAGACATCAGAATGTCAAAAACGAGACCGGAGCACTCCAGCACTCTGTGCCTTGTGTAATGGACCACACCCAGCTAATTACAAGGGATGTGAGGTCTATAAAGAAATTCAAGCAAGAAAACAAAAAAATCCAATCAATATTCCTATACCAACTACTAAAACAGCATCTAAAACACCTAAAAAGACTGAACTGAATACTAGTACAGAACCCAAGAGACAGGAAAAGAGTTTAAGTTATGCTAAAGCCGTAGAACCAGACCAAATAAACAACACATTCCAGAACAATTATGATAATACTCACATCCCAGGACAAATAAACGCGACCCTAGAACAAATTATTATAAAACAGACAGAAAAGTTTGACATCATCCTACAACAAATGAGCACCCTAATGTGCCTCATAACCAAACTCGTCGACAAACTGACAAAATGACTACACTACGGATTGCGACCTGGAACATCAATGGTCTTGCCACCAACAACCATGAAGTTAACCTGTTCATGTCCCAACATAAGTTAGACATTCTCCTTATTTCCGAGGCTCACTGTAAGGCTAATTCTATAGTAAGATTTCAAGACTACCACTGCTACATTACAAACCACCCTGACGGTACCAGTCACGCGGGATCAGCCATTATTGTAAAAAAGTCAATTAAACATCATCAAATGCCTAATTATGAAACGGAGCCTATCCAAGCAACCACTATAACTGTTCATGACAAAACAGGAGACATCAATGTGACAGCAGTATACTGCCCACCTAAGCACAACATGACGGAGTCAATGTACTCCGATTTCTTTAAGACTCTGGGACACCGCTATATTGTAGGCGGAGATTGGAATGCCAAACATACTTCCTGGGGCTCAAGATTGACGAATACTAGAGGCAAACAGCTAAAACTGAGCATAACTAAAAACAACTCAAGCACCGTATCCACAGGTGAACCCACTAACTGGCCTACTGATGCCAAGAAGGTGCCTGATCTCATAGACTTCTTTATTACTAAAGGATTAACGAAGTTATACATGAAACCTGAGTCTTGTTATGACAGCTCTACAGATCACACTCCGGTGCTCCTGACCATTAGTACTAACCTAATAGAGGTAACAAGATCAATAAGGTTATGTAATAAACGCACAGACTGGAACACATTCCGTGAGCACATTGAGGAATCAATAAATATGAAAATGGCCCTTAAAACACCCGAAGATGTAGATGAAGCAGCTAAATACATAACGCTGTTAATACAGGAAGCATGCTGGATAAGTACTCCTGAAATTCAGACCCCCAACAATAGTGGAGTAAACAACTATCCCCTAGAAATAAAAAAGGCTGTCCTTGAGAAGAGACGACGTCGAAGAATTTGGCACTTAAGTAGGCTTACTGTAGACAAAACCAACTTTAACAGAGCTGCAGAAGATCTCAAGTCACTATTGCAAAATTGGCATGATAACTCATTCCAAGCAAAGCTAGAAAGCCTAACTGCTACAGAGTCTACAAACTACTCGCTCTGGAAAATAACCAAAAGTTTCGACAGACCACAAGCTGCTAAACCACCCTTAAAGTGTGCTGAAGGATGGGTGAGAAAACCACAGCAAAAAGCAGACCTATTTGCTAAACACCTGTCAAAAGTATTCTGCCCAAATGATTCCGTAGACGATAAGTTTGATGATCAAGTGGACACAACACTAAACCAAGACCTTCAAATGAATCTACCACCAAAACCTGTGTCAGTACGGGAAGTTTGGAGAGTTATAAGGGAACTAAAGGATAGAAAAGCACCGGGCTTCGACCTTATAACCAAAGAAATAATTACACAACTGCCCCGAAAAGCCGTAACGTACATTACCACACTATGTAATGGGATATTAAGAGTCCAACATTTCCCAGATATATGGAAAGTATCTCAAATAATAATGATATATAAAGACGGAAAACCACCAAACGAAGTCACATCTTATAGGCCTATAAGTTTGCTTCCGATACTATCAAAAGTTTTCGAAAAACTACTTCTTCGACGTATTCTTCCGATCTTATCTGAAAAAGGCACCATACCCAGCCATCAGTTCGGCTTCAGACAGCAACACTCTACGGTGGAACAGGTTCATAGAGTCTGCGACAAGATAAGAAAGACACTGGAAGAAAAAGAATACTGTGCTGCTGTGTTCCTGGATATACAACAGGCCTTTGATAGAGTCTGGCACAAGGGCCTGCTATGTAAAATAAAAAGTTATCTTCCACACTGCTACTTTTTGATATTTCATTCATATCTCTCGGGAAGATTATTCCAGGTCAAAGAAGGAGAAACAACATCAGATTTCTTTGAAATAAAAGCTGGCGTACCACAGGGGTCAGTGTTGGGTCCGGTACTCTACACTATATTCACAGCTGACCTGCCTTGTTCAAGTACCATAACTACAGCCACGTTCGCAGACGATACCGCTATCCTGGCAAGTCACAAGGACCCAGTAATAGCCTCAAAAATCCTACAGAAAGGCCTAGATGATACAACTAAATGGCTTCAAAACTGGCGGATCAAAACTAGTACATCGAAATCGGTACAGGTTACCTACACCCTATGCAAAGGCAATTGCCCCTCAGTGAAGGTAGGAAATACCACCCTTCCTCACCGGAATTGTGTCAGATACCTTGGTCTTCATCTTGATAGGCGTATGACATGGAATGATCACATCAAAAAGAAGCGAGATGAACTGAATATTAGATATAAAAGCTACCTGTGGTTGCTAGGCCGAAACAGCAAACTGTCTGTAGACAATAAACTACTAGTGTACAAGTCGATCCTGAAACCTGTATGGATGTACGGCCTTCAACTATGGGGTAGTGCTTGTAACTCCTCCATCATGCGCATACAAAGAATGCAGAACATTATTCTCCGGACCATCAGTAATGTCCCCTGGTATGTGACTAATGCTGAGATCCACGAACACCTGGGAATGCTCACAGTGAGAGAAGAAATAACAAATATCAAGACCAGATACAGGGAACGGCTAGCAACCCACCCCAATGCCCTTGCACGACAGCTCACGATGCAGAGCTATGTTAAACGCCTTAAGCGAAAAAACATTCTATAATGTGAAGAATTATGAGTAGATGTTCTCACTGGAGGACACACTCCGAACGAGATAACCATCCAACATATTTGCTAAAAGTGAAAGCACTGATTGCAGATGGCGAATATACAAAAAAAAAAAAAAAAAAAAAAAAGTTCTTCTTACCCACTATACGCCCATGACTTGTGAACTGGTAGTAAATGTAAATTAAGACTTAATTTAACTGCTTTTCTGACGTTTATATGTGTACTTGTTTATGAATAAAGTTATTTTGACTTTGTCGAACTTGTTAACTATATCTCTGTCTCTAACTGAAATATCTTTTTGACATTCAATTTCAATAAATATAATGTACATATTCACTATGTTTTATGATACACAATGTCTAAGGTCTCATACAAGGCTCTTATCTAGCCTAATACACAAATGATCAGCATTCAATGCCCTCCGGCTAGAGACAATTATTTGCCGGAATTGAAACACTAAGTTACATTCTGAACTAAAACTCAAAAAATGTAAATACCGTTGCAGTGTTGTGACTAGACATAGTTAAAACATGCTGTACAAACTGATTCACGAGTCAGACAGAACATCAAAACATATAAATTGTAAAGGTAATCTGGTAATACGAACTATTAATGTTACAACATTGAACCTATAAACAATTACAGTAAATGAGTCGGCATGTTCAACATGAGTATTACACATTTAGGGCCTATTTTTATAATTTTGGATTTTCTATGTGATAATAAATCATGTATGTTCTCATTCCCAGCAAAGGAATGTAACATTAAACTAATAAGAAACTAACCCTTCTATAAATGTTGTGTGTTGAATAAGCCATAAATCACACATTGTTCTAGCAATAAGTGATAATGCTATTAGCACCATAAAACCACTCTCCTTTGTCCATAGTCCAGGCACCATAATCTTCCATAATGCTTTTAATTCCTTGAAAAATTTAGCATTCACTTGGGCTTTTGTGCTCTTTTTGTTTTTATCTTTTATCATATATTGTACACTTTCTTCTAATGTGAGTTGACCAGGCTTCACATTTTTTGATTTGCTGTAACAATAACAACCTGTATTTCAGAACTGTTAAAATGTTTTGACAAACATACTAAAAAATGAGTTTATCATCAGATAAGATGAATATGTAAATAACATAATATGCATAATTGCAAATGAAGTCAATATTAAATAGTATAATATTTAGAATAAATAATGGCTCACTATAAGATAACTACTAAGAAAAAGTTCTTCTTCCTTACTTTGAACCAACTAATTAATATTGAATCACTCGGAATTCACCTTGACTTTATAGAATTCTTCAAAATCCATGCACCAAGTGCAGCCGATGCCGCTACAGCGATTTTGACATCAGTCCTTGAGGTCAATTTGCTCAAATTCGGAGCCATTACACAAGTTTACGAAGTCGATGTAGATACTTAAAATTTATAGTGCAATCAGCTACAACTGGCACATATTCACCTCACTCAATCGACACAACCACCACCTGCCAAATTCCAATAATGAATGATAACTGCCCAGTGGGCCAGTGCCCAAGTGCCCAGTGTTCAGTGGCCTGATTAACACTAATATTTTGGTTGTGATGGACTATCAGCATTAGTGGTAGAAACTACTTTACTAATTTTGCTGTTGCGAGAAACGAATTGTAAATTGGAACAAAACAGTTCCGTGAAAAAGATAAATTAAAGTTACCAACTTAACAAGTAACACCAAAAGTCACAACATTAAATTTTAAATGCTCATTGCTCAGCAGAGATTATACTGCGCAATGACAATTGACATTTGATATTTTAACTTAAGCTATTAGACATGTATATTGTATATCACGCCTTATGGTGTACAAAATCTATCTCACGCAAATATTATTATTTTTTGAAGAAGTCTGTATCTATCGGTAGTCTTCACATTGGGACTTTTGTTTATTGTCATAGTTATCAAGTATTTCTCACAGGTTCCATGACAGTATAAGCAAAAAATCCATTAGCAATAAATTAATATCATCATCATGCAGTCATCAAACTTCAACAATTATCATTATTCGTCCTGAGATTTTGTTAATTCTTTAATAATTTATACAAAAGTCGTAGCTTTTAAATTTATTATTATTTGCCATTTTTCAAGCAAAGATATTAATATTAGTCTGACTGAAAGTCACAGACTACTAAAAAGAAAATAAGCGAAGCGGTAATTATGATTTTAATCGATTCATAATAATAAAATAAGAAAACAGAACCAATATAACAAATAGTACTTAATTGTTCAACGAATAATTATTGTTGAATTTAAAAATAATAATTTTATATACGAAATATATATTATATATACAATATATATCTATATTATATAAGAAATTTATTGGGAAGCAAATAAAGCTAGAAATAATTTAGAAAAAAATAAAACACAAAATTAATATTTTACTTAATTTATTCTAAGATTAAGCAGTACATGATCATGGAATGCTAATAATAAATATTTAAAAACTAATCAGTCACAAACTTAACAATACTATTTACAAAGTTGTACTAAATTTAATAATTAAGATTTTATGTCATTTTAATCAACTTCCTCTACTGTGGGACCTTGGTTGCTGTATTGTTGGTAGCCTTGTCCTGGTTGAAAACCTGGTCCTTGCTGGAATCCTTGCCCTTGTTGGAATCCTTGTCCGGGCTGGAAGCCACCTGGGTTACTGGAACCAGCTCCGTGCATCTTGCTAATTATTGGAGAGCAAGTCCTTTGTAATTCCTTAAGCTGGTGTTCATATTCTTCTTTTTCCGCTAAGGTATTGTTTTCGAACCATTTGAGAGCTTCATCACACGCATTTCGAGCACCGTTCTTTTCTTCTTGACTGAGTTTTTCACCAGCATCGTCCAAAGCCTGTTTCACACTAAAGATGTAGGATTCTAGTTGATTGCGAGATGCTACTCTTTCTCTTTGGCGGTTGTCTTCTTCTTTGTACCTTTCGGCTTCAGCCAACATACGATCGATCTCAGCTTGCGAAAGACGGCCCTTATCATTCTTGATCACGATGTTCTTGCTTAGGCCAGTACTGTTTTCTTTTGCTGATACGTTTAAGATTCCATTAGCATCTAAATCGAAGGTGACGTCTATCTTAGGTACTCCTCGCGGTGCTGGTGGTATTCCAGTAAGATCAAATCGCCCGAGCAGATTGTTGTCTTTAGTCATTGCTCGTTCACCCTCATACACCTGGATGGTAACGGCCGGTTGGTTGTCCGAGTATGTGGTGAAGGTTTGTGACTGTCTGCATGGAATCTTCGCATTCCGCTCAATGATCTTCGTCATTACTCCTCCTGCAGTCTCAATACCCAATGACAATGGAGCAACGTCTACTAGCAGTACATCCTGGATTTTACTGTGCTGTTCCCCACTTAAGATAGCTGCTTGAACCGCAGCGCCATAGGCAACTGCTTCATCAGGGTTGATGGAGAGGTTTAATTTCTTACCACAGAAGAAGTTTTGCAGCATGCTCTGAATTTTTGGAATACGAGTAGAACCGCCAACCAATACTACATCGTGAATAGAGCTCTTGTCAAGCTTAGCATCCTTAAGGGCCTTCTCGACTGGTTCCAGAGTACCGCGGAACAAATCCGAATTTAATTCCTCAAACCTTGCCCGAGAAACCCTGGTGTAGAAGTCCATTCCTTCGTAGAGAGCGTCTATTTCAATGGTGGCTTCCGTGCTCGATGATAAGGTCCGTTTAGCTCTTTCAGCAGCGGTTCGTAGTCGACGAAGAGCGCGAGCGTTATTCCTTATGTCCTTCTTGTACTTTCGGAAGAATTCATCAGCCAGGTGGTTGACTAGTCTGTTGTCAAAGTCCTCGCCACCGAGATGCGTATCGCCGGCAGTAGCTTTAACTTCAAACAATGATCCCTCGTCGATAGTTAAGATGGATACATCAAAGGTACCGCCTCCGAGATCAAAAATCAAGACGTTACGTTCTCCTTTCAGACTTTTGTCCAGGCCATAAGCCAAAGCGGCAGCGGTGGGTTCATTTATTATCCTTAAGACGTTGATACCGGCGATCGCACCCGCATCCTTGGTTGCCTGGCGTTGGGAGTCGTTGAAGTAAGCTGGTACAGTTATAACAGCGTCTCTGACCGAACTACCCAAATACGCCTCAGCAGTTTCCTTCATCTTCGTGAGCACCATGCTGCTGATTTCTTCCGGAGAAAATCGTTTTGTTTCGCCCTTGAATTCCACCTGAATTTTACATTTACCGTAGTCGTTGATGACTTTGAAAGGCCAATGTTTCATATCTTGCTGAATCTTGGGGTCGTCGAATTTTCTGCCGATCAGTCGCTTTGCATCGAACACTGTGTTATTTGGGTTCAAAGCGACCTGGTTCTTAGCGGCATCTCCAATAAGTCTCTCTGTGTCTGTGAATGCAACGTATGATGGTGTTGTTCGGTTGCCTTGGTCGTTTGCGATGATTTCCACGTTTCCATGTTGCCACACTCCCACACATGAGTATGTGGTTCCAAGATCAATTCCAATAGCTGGCATTTTGATGATTTTTTAAATTATTTTATCACTCGTTCAATAAATAGATCCACTTGTTTAGTATTCGCTTGTAAAACTTGGTATTAACACCGACTTTACTTTTACTGTTCGCTTGTTTGTCTTTTCAAATACTGATGTATTGCCGCGCTTTCGCGCTGTTTATATACCTCGGGCTCATTGGCGAATGGCATTCGAGAATTTTCTAGATGCCTCGCGAGCCTTCCAATAAGAAACAGCTTGATGGAGAAGGTTCTAGATAAATATATTTCCCGTCCAATCAGATTTAAGAGTTGTGTGATAAGAACAGGAGTATAGAATTGTGTAATGCGTAAGATAAGGACAGAACATAGCATTCTTTTTCCCAATTATTTTAGGGTTGCCATTGGTCGTGACTTAACCTAAATTCTACGAAATAAATGAAACATATTTTTAAATGTTCAATTATTGTAAACCGTACATAAAAATCAATAATCAACAAAATTTAGTTGAAAAATTCATAATTTCTTCAGTATATTTGGTATTTTCAATACCCAATGAGAATATAACTATTATACACTAGTTATACCCCTTTTAAACGTTAAAAATACTATATAATGGATTATATAGTGTAGACAATTTTTTTTTATTATTTTCCCATCAAGTATTAATAATAATTTGTAGGACTTTTAATTTTAACATCTTGCAACTCCGAATACGTTTTCACACTGCTGCCAACCTTTACGCACACTAAAATGATCTTTGTGTGAATAAATTAAGAAGTATGCACACTTTTGCTAAAATGGATCAATAGATTTTTAGATATTTATGATATTCACAATTTAATATTATTTTCGAGAAACAATTTTATAATGTATATATTACTTTGACGGTTTTAATAGCAGAATAACATTATACATGTGTGAAATTTATCTGGATTTACTTTGGATTTATAATATATAGTGATTAGCATATGATTAAATAATATGTTTTTTTGGTTTCACAAAGCTACCCATATTTTTAACTAAAGAATATCGATTTAACAATTTAATATTACGATTAAAATAAAATAAATAATACTTTGACATTTAAATGTACCTTTAATAGATGTAATAATATTTTAAAACTATTAATAGCCAATACATATTGGGGATAAAAATAACGAAATATCAATTGGTTTGATATACTTAGAAGTAGGTAATTAATTACTTAATTTTTAATTATTTTTTATTATAACTATGTAGGTTAAGAAAATTGTAAATACTGTGTATTTGATTGTTATGTTGAGGTTTTAATAAACGATTTCCTCCTTACAAGTTGAATTAATGAACACCGAAAAGTCTAATTTTTTAATAATAATAATACTCGAGCACTGCAACACACTTGACCGCAAATTGCATCCATTTCTTTGAACTTTTAATATGTTAGACAAGTACATTATGATCACCCTTCTGCCTCTTTTCTTAATATTATTATAAAATTAATGCTAATTAGAAAAATAATAAACATTTGCACAAAAAATATATCACGTAATATCAGCACTGATAAGCGTTTATAGGCGTATTCTAGAACGGTCTGAGAATAACAAGACCTTTGACTGTATATTACAATGATACATTAAAAAATGGAAACTGATGACATCCTTTACATTGTAAAAGACAATATAATACAAATAGTTTAGTTTGACAACTCAACAAGCACTGGGGAATCAATGATAAAAAGTATGTAATTATTTTAAAAGGAATAATTTATTTTATCGAGCCTTGTACGTGGTTTGTTTGTCTTCATGGGGAATATAATAAAAGTTAAAAAAAATATTATTTTTATGTTTATCTAATTTTGTTACATTCAAAATATGTGTCATTATTATATTTAGTAAATAAAGGTTTAAGTATATGTAGGATGTTAATTTTTGTTTGCTCCAAAATTTGGATGGATTAAGATATTTCTATCTGATAGAAACGGCTTTGAACTCCCTTTTACATCTACTTTTTACTTTCCTAACAATTTTTTATTAATACCTGTTTTGTAATATTGTTTATTAAGTAAATAACGTGATTATTGTTGCTTATAATTGTATTATTTATCATTAAAATGTTTTAATGCATAAATTATAAAGCTATTTCAATATACATTAAAGTATTTTTTGCTTCGTACTGCTAATAATAATTCCGTGTGAACATTGTGCATTCACCCTAAATTAATACGCTAGTGTGCGTTGAAATACGAGCTCGACATTCACACACGTAAAAACAGCAGATTTTTTATTTAATGTTGAATTTACAAACAAATCACTCAAAACTGAGAGTTGAATCGTATTTAAATTCCTTGTTGTCTTTAGTTTGTCTTAACCAAAAAACCGAAGGAAAATGTTTACAATTATACATGTAGTTTTTATTCAGTAAATAAAAAATAACCGCGTCTACGGCTAGTGGCTACGGCTCAGAGTTCAAGCTCTTTATTTTTGCATTAAACACAGCGGCTTGTTACTGATATCATTGCAATATTATGGTATAAATATTATGTTTACATAAATACGTATAAAAAAACTTAAGAGGTGTCAAGGAACACCTGGATGGAACGAAGTTCCTTTCGATTAATTTATATGTTAATTGGTATCATAACAGTATGATAGATCACAATCATATATTTCATCATCTATTAAAGTTTTAAGAGACCAGGAATCTAAAAGAGGAAGAAGTATGATATCGTTGTGCTACGAAGCGATTAAATAGTAAAATAACCTAAAAATAAATTAAGTGGCACAATTAATAAGCATATTTCGTATTTCGTGGTTCAGATGTTTTAATTCAGTCTCATCTGGTTCATCTCCTTGTATAAGCTGTTCTCGTTGTGATATTAGTTCAAAATTCAAATAATATTCTAATTTTTGAATTCGCAGAATTTCATGACATTTCCCTGAAACATATTTTTTTTATTTTTTAAAGGTATTGTATTTCGCAAGAAAACTAGGGACCACGCAATTATTATTGTACAGGGATTCTGGTGTACGTTTACTACGACTAATTTAGTTAAGTGATGACAAAAATAATTTTCATTTCTTTACATCTTTTCGTCTTATTTTTTTCCGTCTAGCCCCCTTTCGCAACGCGCGTTAAGGAACTTCGTTCCAATAATATGTTTAGGTAAGTATATCGTCCCCCTAGAGCGAAAACTCATTAAGTCCAAAAAACCTGTTTCGAGATAATAAGGGTTAAAGTTTTGAAATACATATATCGTCCCCATAGAGCGAAAATTCATTAAGTCCAAAAAACCTGTTTCGAGATAATGAGGGTTAAAGTTTTGAAATAATAATAAATTGCCATAACTTAAGCATGTCATGACATATTTTAATGTTTTTCGTTTCATTGTGAAGGAAATCAAATTAAGTTTAAATGATGCTAGCTACCCAAATTGATGATTAAATTATTACTGAGAAAACCTAAAAAAACCAATTAGTTATTTGTTATTTGTAGAATATCCGATGTAGTTATGAATTAGTTAATATTCGCCCCTAGTTAGTGATTTTTCACTCAGATTGAGTTTATTTTTATAATAAATAACTTGAGTTGGGTAATTTACGACTAACTTGTAGATATACAAAATATACTTAATTAAAAAAAACTTAAGAGTTAAAAGGCATTTTTTTTATAATAGTATAAAATCAAACTACTTTTAGAAAAAAAAATCTTCTATACTTCCTATGGATTAAAAATGTTAATATAAAAGTAATTAAATATTTTATTTTTATAAGCTTTGTAAGTTTTTGATAAATAAAAAATAGTGAACATGATTTAGTTATTTCGTGAGCGTCAGAATGGCCGGTCACTAGTCGTGTAGAAGGTTAAAATGTCGTTTAAAAATTACTTCCCAATTGCTTCTATTTAATTCCTACTACAAGACAATTGCTTCCTTAGTATCTTGGGAGAGCCACAACAATTTTAGTGACCGTCCATTCTGACGTCAGAATGGCTGGTCACCTATCCTATTGTACTCACTATAATGAATTATCGATTACTTCATAGTTCATGTTTTGCTTCCTATTTGCTTCTTCCTAAGTTTTCCATACTCGATGCTGTACCTATCATGAAATTAAGATATCGAACAATGTTATTACAATTCCGCACAGCGCCTGGTAAAAATATACAGGCAAAGAATATTTGGTTAAACTAAGTTTAATTATGGTTTATTTATATAAATATAGGTAGGTAGTAACAGAACCCACTATATGTATACTTTTTTTTATATTGAATACAAGAGAAAATAAAATAAAATGAATTGGTATAATACAAATAGGTATTATACCAATACTCATTCATTAATTTTTCTTAAGTCTTTTTAATTAATTTAATCTTATTCCTTTTTTTTAACGTATACAATACAGTGTGGAATTATTTTTTTATTATAACTTCTTATCCTTGTATTCATATCATCGTAGCATTGCCATACATTTTCACGTCTACAATGTGCTTTATAGTGGCCCATTGTACCAATAGCAGGCGGAACAAATTCAATTATTGAAATCAATTCATATTCGTTACCCTGTAAAAATAGGTTTGTTGTTGCTTCATAAACAGAAACAGTTTCATCCAATATTTCAAAACTTATAATGTTGCGTAAGATCTGTTCAAATGATTTGATACCATCGCAAGTTGCTTGACGGCATGGTATAATGGTGGGTGTATCGAGCATTTGTCTATTCGCTGCTTCTTCAATATCGTTTACATGTGTATCATGTAAACGTAAAACAGACACTTTTCTAACTACTTCATTTATAGGGCAGGTTGAATTAGTGCACGACGCTTTTTCATCTGCACTGTAAAGAGAACACTCAAGCAGAATTCCATCAAATATATTTAACACATTACATTCGAAATCAACTTCTAGCATATCTCCGTTTTGAACCTTTTTAAAATAAGTTTTGGCAATGGATGATCTGATTTTATAAACCTCTTTATTGTTATTTTCACACATAGATCGGATGAGCTGGCACATAATGTGATCACTTTCATGTATTATTTGACTTATACTACTTCCATCGCTAAAGCTAATGCTGGCATACGGAGTCCAGTACACAAGTGTTTGTTGTAATTAGAATTTCATTATCAATAATAAATCTGCCTCCATTCGATGGCAAAACACTTTTTTTTAGTTTCTGCTTTTTATTTTTGCCTGTATATTTTTACCAGGCGCTGGGCGGAAATGTAATAACATTGTTCGATATCTTAATTTCATTATAGGTACAGCATCGGGTATGGAAAACCTAGGAAGAAGCAAAAAGGAAGCAAAACATGAACTATGAAGTAATCCATAATTCATTATAGTGAGTACAATAGAATAGGTGACCAGCCATTCTGACGTCAGAATGGACGGTCACTAAAATTGTTGTGGTTCTCCCAAGATACTAAGGAAGCAATTGTCTTGTAGTTTATATATAATTAAATAGAAGCAATTGGGAAGTAATTTTTAAACGACATTTTAACCTTCTACACGACTAGTGACCGGCTATTCTGACGCTCACGTTATTTACTCTTATTTTCTATTAGGACCCAAGAATAGATTTATTTAATTTTCACTTTTTGTAAATCGGAAACTAGGATACCTACAAAATTGACGGTTAGACAGTTAAATAAAGAAGAAAAATATAGTTTCAATGGCATAGATAACTAGTTTTGGCAATTTTTTGAATTAATTAGTTTTCGCTCTACGGGGACGATATACTTACTAATTGGTTTCATACATTTAGAGATTTATTGGGAAGCAAATAAAGCTAGAAATAATATGGGAAAAAATAAAACACAAAATTAATATTTTACTTAATTTATTCTAAGATTAAGCAGTACATGATCATGGAATGCTAATAATAAATATTTAAAAACTAATCAGTCAGAAACTTAACAATACTATTTACAAAGTTGTACTAAATTTCATTGAGATTTTATATCATTTTAATCAACTTCCTCTACTGTGGGACCTTGGTTGCTGTATTGTTGGTAGCCTTGTCCTGGTTGAAAACCTGGTCCTTGCTGGAATCCTTGCCCTTGTTGGAATCCTTGTCCGGGCTGGAAGCCACCTGGGTTACTGGAACCAGCTCCGTGCATCTTGCTAATTATTGGAGAGCAAGTCCTTTGTAATTCCTTAAGCTGGTGTTCATATTCTTCTTTTTCCGCTAAGGTATTGTTTTCGAACCATTTGAGAGCTTCATCACACGCATTTCGAGCACCGTTCTTTTCTTCTTGACTGAGTTTTTCACCAGCATCGTCCAAAGCCTGTTTCACGCTAAAGATGTAGGATTCTAGTTGATTGCGAGATGCTACTCTTTCTCTTTGGCGGTTGTCTTCTTCTTTGTACCTTTCGGCTTCAGCCAACATACGATCGATCTCAGCTTGCGAAAGACGGCCCTTATCATTCTTGATCACGATGTTCTTGCTTAGGCCAGTACTGTTTTCTTTTGCGGATACGTTTAAGATTCCATTGGCATCTAAATCAAAGGTGACGTCTATCTTAGGTACTCCTCGCGGAGCTGGTGGTATTCCAGTAAGATCAAATCGCCCGAGCAGGTTGTTGTCTTTAGTCATTGCTCGTTCACCCTCGTACACCTGGATGGTAACGGCCGGTTGGTTGTCCGAGTATGTGGTGAAGGTTTGCGACTGTCTGCATGGAATCTTCGCATTCCGCTCAATGATCTTCGTCATTACTCCTCCTGCAGTCTCAATACCCAATGACAATGGAGCAACGTCTACTAGCAGTACATCCTGGATTTTACTGTGCTGTTCCCCACTTAAGATAGCTGCTTGAACCGCAGCGCCATAAGCAACAGCTTCATCAGGGTTGATGGAGAGGTTTAATTTCTTACCGCAGAAGAAGTTTTGCAGCATGCTCTGAATTTTTGGAATACGAGTAGAACCACCAACCAATACTACATCGTGAATAGAGCTCTTGTCAAGTTTAGCATCCTTAAGGGCCTTCTCGACTGGTTCCAGAGTACCGCGGAACAAATCCGAGTTTAATTCCTCAAACCGTGCCCGAGAAACCCTAGTGTAGAAGTCCATTCCTTCGTAGAGAGCGTCTATTTCAATGGTGGCTTCCGTGCTCGATGATAAGGTCCGTTTAGCTCTTTCAGCAGCGGTTCGTAGTCGACGAAGAGCGCGAGCGTTATTCCTTATGTCCTTCTTGTACTTTCGGAAGAATTCATCAGCCAGGTGGTTGACTAGTCTGTTGTCAAAGTCCTCGCCACCCAGATGCGTATCGCCGGCAGTAGCTTTAACTTCAAACAATGATCCCTCGTCGATAGTTAGGATGGATACATCAAAGGTACCGCCTCCGAGATCAAAAATCAAGACGTTACGTTCTCCTTTCAGACTTTTGTCCAGGCCATAAGCCAAAGCGGCAGCGGTGGGTTCATTTATTATCCTTAAGACGTTGATACCGGCGATCGCACCCGCATCCTTGGTTGCCTGACGTTGGGAGTCGTTGAAGTAAGCTGGTACAGTTATAACAGCGTCTCTGACCGAACTACCCAAATACGCCTCAGCAGTTTCCTTCATCTTCGTGAGCACCATGCTGCTGATTTCTTCCGGAGAAAATCGTTTTGTTTCGCCCTTGAATTCCACCTGAATTTTACATTTACCGTAGTCGTTGATGACTTTGAAAGGCCAATGTTTCATATCTTGCTGAATCTTGGGGTCGTCGAATTTTCTGCCGATCAGTCGCTTTGCATCGAACACTGTGTTATTTGGGTTCAAAGCGACCTGGTTCTTAGCGGCATCTCCAATAAGTCTCTCTGTGTCTGTGAATGCAACGTATGATGGTGTTGTTCGGTTGCCTTGGTCGTTTGCGATGATTTCCACGTTTCCATGTTGCCACACTCCCACACATGAGTATGTGGTTCCAAGATCAATTCCAATAGCTGGCATTTTGATGATTTTTATTTTATCACTCGTTCAATAAATAGATCCACTTGTTTAGTATTCGCTTGTAAAACTTGGTATTGACACCGACTTTACTTTTACTGTTCGCACTTCGCTTGTTTGTTTTTTTCAAATACTGATGTATTGCCGCGCTTTCGCGCTGTTTATATACCTCGGGCTCATTGGCGAATGGCATTCGAGAATTTTCTAGATGCCTCGCGAGCCTTCCAATAAGAAACAGCTTGATGGAGAAGGTTCTAGATAAATATATTTCCCGTCCAATCAGATTTAAGAGTTTTGTGATAAGAACAGCAGTATAGAATTATGTAATGCGTAAGATAAGGACAAAACATAGCATTCTTTTCCCAATTATTTTAGGGTTGCCATTGGTCGTGACTTAACCTAATTTCTACGAAATACATGAAACATATTTTTGAAATGTGCAGTTATTGTATACCGTACATAAAAATCGATAAACAACAAAATTTAGTTGAAAAATTAATAATTTCTTCAGTATATTTGGTATTTTCAATACATTTAACTATTATAAACTAGTTATACCCTAAAAGCGTTATTTAAAAATATTATAACAATAATAGAGTGTATAGTGTAGATATTTTTTTATTATTTTCCCATAAAGTATTAATAATAATTTGTAGGACTTTTAATTTTAACATCTTGCAACTCCGAATACGTTTTCACACTGCTGCAAACCTTTACGCACACTAAAATGATCTTTGTGTGAATAAATTAAGAAGTATGTACACTTTTGTTAAAATGGATCAATAGATTTTTAGATTTTTATGATATTCACAATTTAATATTATTTTCGAGAAACATAATATTTTATAATAAATATTTAACTTTGACGGTTTTAATAGCAGATTAACATTTATACATGTGTGAATGTTATCCGGATTTACTTTGTATTTATAATATGTATATAGTGATTAGCATAAAATTAAATAATATGTTTTTTAGTTTCACAAAGGCACCCATATTTTTTACTATAGAATATCGATTTTAGAAATTTAATATTACGATTAAAATAAAATAAACAATACTTTGACATTTAAATGTACCTTTAATAGATGTAATAATATTTTAAAACAAATATATAAATAAGGAAACGGGATAAAAATAACGAAATATCAATTGGTTTGATATACTCACAAATAATTAAGTAATTAGTAATTAATTACTTAATTTTTAATTATTTTTATTATTACCTACTATGTAAGTTAAGAAAATTGTAAATACTGTGTATTTGATTGTTATGTTTAGGTTTTAATAAACGATTTCTTCCTTTCATGTTGAATTACTGAACGCGGAGAAGTCTAAATTTTTATATAATAATACTCCAGTAGCACTGCAACACTCTTGACCGCAAATTGCATCCACTTCTTTGAACTTTTAATTTGTTAGACAAGTATATTATGATCAGCTTTCTGTCATTTTATTAACATTTACACAAAAAAATATATCGCATAATATCAGCACTGATAGACGTTTATAGGCGTATTCTAGAACGGTCTGAGAATAACAAGACCTTTGAAAAATGGAAACTGATGACATCCTTTACATTTTAAAAGGCAATATAATACACAGTTTAGTTTGACAACTCAACAAACACTGGGGAATCAATGATAAAACGTATGTAATTATTTTAAAAGAATAATTACATACTTAATTAACTTACTACTACTAACATACATATAGGCTTATTAAGTAATTTATGTTATAGAGCCTTGTACGCGGTTTGTTTGTCTTCATGGGGAATATAATAAAGGTAAAATAAAAATATTATTTTCAAGTTTATCTACTTATTATATATAGTAAAAGTTTTAATATATGTAGGATGTTAATTTTTGTCTGCTCCAAAATATAGATTGAATAAGATAGTTTTAATTGATAGAAACGGCTTTAAAATCCCTTTTACATCTACTTTTTACTTTCCTAACTATTTTTTATTAAGTAAATAACGTGATTATTGTTGCTTATAATTGTATTATTTATCATTAAAATATTTTAATACATAAATCGTCAAGCTATTTCAAAATACATTAAATTATTTTTTGCTACGTACTACTAATAATAATTCCGTGTGACCATTGTGCATTCACCCTAAATTAATACGCTAGTGTGCGTTGAAATTCGAGCTCGACATTCACACACGTGAAAACAGCTGTGTACAAACAGTACAATATAATTTCTAGAATGTTCCAAGGTCCTAACTATTGATCAAGGATTTAGTTGCGCAGCTGTATCTTTGTCCCCATCCCCAACCCCATTCCAAACGCCCAATGCACCCTAGTTCCCTGGATTCTGCAGTGTCTAGAACGTTCTCTATTGATCTCGATTTACTGCACTGGAAAATAATTGCGCTTGTTTACTTCCTAGCTTAAGAGATATTTTAATAAATAAAATTCTATTCACCAATTGATGTACTTACACAGCACTTTTAATATTAGCTTTTTTTTAATGTTTAAGGAGTTATTTCGATTATAATTCATACATAAATAATGTCAAAAGGATAACTGTGATTTTGATAATACAACAAAATATTGAATGAATTTATTTCCTGCTTGTATTATGTATATATACATATATCTTTTGGTAAATTATCTTTTTATAGTATTTTTTATGTTGCTGAGTGTTTTACGTAAGACAACATTAGTGATGTTTAAGTAAGACCACATTTTTCTTATTTAAATGTAATGTTTTTTATCACTAATTTCTTAAATAGTTGTTCGTTGTGATATATGTATATATAAATCGTAATGAAAATTCTCAGTTTAAGTTTAGGTTAAAAGTTATAAATATGATTTATTGATTCTTCTTTACCTATTCTCTCAATACCATTTTACATGTCATACAAAATATCGCATATTGTACATTTTAATTATAATTATTTAATATATTGATGTTTGAAGATTTCTTGATTCACTCATTTAGCTCTTTGACTATAATCAGGTTTTGGAATATTACAGTGGTATCGCTTTCTCCCTTTAACACAGACACTGGTCTCATTCGCACAGACAAAGAATGTTCTAGAACTATAATGCTGCTACATTGAGAATAGTAATGTTATTATGTACGAGTGGTGGCTTACGTGTCTTCTCTATTAGCATCATTATACTGCGTCACCGGATCAAGTAGGGAGTATTTAAGCAGCTGCGCGGGGGAATTCACCATCATAACTATTTTGATAGCGTTGTAGTGCGGTTCGTTCGTCACTATGTACCTTAGGTCTATATTTAGAGGTCCAAGTCTTGGTACCAATAGAAATAGGTATTTAGAAATTAAAAATCGAGGTTTTATAGTGCACTAGAATAAAGCGTTGAAAGATCCTAGAGAAGTCAAAAATGGAAGAATACGTAAAATATATTCAAGATGGCGGAGTCATCGCCCGGTAGAGAACCGTAGTTACTGCGCATTTAAGTTTGACGTCGTTAAAAATGGCTAGAAATCAGCTGGCGTTCAAGGATTATTATAAAAGGTGGGTGGAATTTCATTTTCATATTTTATGACGGAGTTAGAAATCATTAAACTCAATAACTTACTCCGTCAAATATTCAGAAATAAATTATTTCATACTAAAATGATTATATTAAGACCACCATTTTAATGTTTTCCTTGTTCTTAATAATATTAAGTAAATTATATTTAACGTCATAGTGACGTAATACTACTTCGTTGAAACTTATTATTTACTTTGACAGCCTATGTAGATTCAATGAATGAATCATACCAAATGAAAGTTAATTAATAACAGCTGGTTTAAACAATTAAGTGTTTATCGAAATTTGATATACCTCATTTGTAATAATTTAGATTTTGTAGATGTTTCTAGTACAGTCTAGATAAAATTTTCAGATATGCCACTGCTCAGTCTGAAGAGACTTCAAATAAAGGTATAATTACCAATTAACTTAATCAAGCGTGGTATATCTTTTATGTCAAAGCTTAGGTAAAATAGGTGTTAAAGAGAAACTATTATAAAACGGTACGTAATATTGAAATAAGTTAGAATTTTCATAATTTATACGTAAACATTTTCATAGGTTGTTATAAAAAAACATAAGTAACTTTAAATACAACTTGAATAATATAGACAACAACCCATTTAACTCTTGACAAATTTATAAAATAGCTATATTGCTCAATTAAAAATGTTTCTAGGTGTTAAGTATTAGAAATACTTATGATCTCATGATTATATTTACAAAATGTTACAACTTCTAATAATTTACAACAAAGATAAAGATTGATGGTTAAATAATACAATATATAGTCAATAATTTAATTATACAGTAATAATTACTGTAATATTTTTTTGGTTCAGATGCCAAATCAAAAAGAATAAGAGCAAAAATAAACTACTATAACTTAATTAGATAAAAAGTGAAAGATATCATAATATTGTTTAATTCATTAATGTGTTGATACTTATGGTTACAGAACAAATTAAAAATATAAATTTGATAGATATTTACAAAAATGGATTGTTACTGATATTTCTCATTTAATATTAAAGTAATTAAAACAAGGTTAGTTAATATTAGTAGGTACGTAAACCAAACAATATTGTAAGGTTACTAAATATAAATGTAAGATAGTTAAATGGTAAAAACATAAATTCTGTTGATAAGATAGCGCCCTATTAATTTACAACAATTAGGCTGTAACAATAATAATTCATAGTTTTTCGGGATGATATCAAAATGTATATAATTACAATTGCTAAAGCTTCATAACTACAAAAAAAATATTCCTATGGAATACATAGTAACAATTTAAACATAGGTCTAAATGTACCTTAATTACACAATTGTGGTGTTTACAATTAGGTTAACATAATTTACAGAAACTTCTTTAAAACTTCGATGTTATACAAAATCAAGAAAGACATTAAACCTGTTTCACATTATTCTGAAATAAAGTAAACTAACAAAAAACGTAGAAACTATGAAGAAGAATAATAATTACGATATTTATACGCTTCT